AATTTAGTTGTAGGCATCATGGTGTTCCAAGAGGTAGTTCTCAATGAGCTTGAAGAGGTGGGAGGCCTTCTCTTTGCCAGCCTTAACATGCTCTTCCTTGATCTCAAAATCTCCCTTGGTGTGGTAGTGGCTGGTGCTCTTGACGACAGAACCACTGCCAGATGCCACCAACTTAGTCTCATAGGAGATCTTCTCAATTGTCTCAGAGATTGCATCTCCTTCGATCACACTGTACTTGTACACGAAGTTCTCTTTGTCAATCCCATCAATTCTGTGCTTCACATAGCTGTAAGTGCTACCTGCACAAATATATACATATATACCAGATGAATCTTTCTGTTATGAGATAAGATGACCCCAAAACAATATTTCTGTAACGTTAAAATAACAAACCAGAAGAAGAAAAAAATTCTAAACTTACCTTCACCAAAGTTAATTTTCTTGATGGTTCCAACGCCTCCATCTCCTTCAAGGATCTCCGTGCTCTTAACTGCCTGTGGTGCAATTTTTGGGACGAGGTTGTCACCATCAAGAACAAAGGCTTTGAACAACCTAGCAGGGGGGATGACAGAGTTGATCTCGGTTTCATATGTGAACACACCCATGATTGTGTAAAATGTGTTCGGAAAGTGAGGAAAAAAAAAAAGTAATTGATAAAGAGGGCAGACTAAGAAAGATGATACAAATGGGAGATTTTGGGTTGTGAAGAAGAGAGGAGGAGGTATGGTATTTATAGGAACCAAGTGATCAAAAGGTTTATGCAAGTTTGTAATTGTTTAATTGGTTGTATTCATTGTGACGTGGAAGCTATTACTTTTGTACAATGAATTTTGTAATTTAGTCAAGGGAAGGACCATCTGCAAATTGAATTTAAAATTCCAATAAATTCACGAGGTGGACTAACCTTTGCGCAATGTTTGAATACAAGTTAAAAATTTCCATGTGCATTCAATGAGTGCTTTGGACGACTATATTTTCTCACATTGTAACAAATTGACAGTGTCTGTGATTGAGAACCCAAGAGAGGAAGTTTTCAAAGAAATGAGAATGCTTTTCAATAAGAAATAGAAATTCGAAACCCACTTGAGCTGCAGCAATTAAGACTAGATGATATCTGACCATACAATGTAATGTGGATGTCTCTTGGTGTTTCCATATGTGGGACTTTTGAAATGCAAATGAAAATCACGGGCAGCCCATGTTGAAATGCAAGTCAAGTCATCCTAATTTGAAGTTCTAGAAGTGCATACTATTTGGGCGGTAGGGACAATCATATTGTGAAATTTGGAATTTACTTCTTTAGAAAGTTCCTGCCTCCAAATTTTTATCAACATTGGGCACCGTCCCATTTGATTACAGCTAGTGTACTAATTAACTTCAGAAGATTTGCTACTGTTTAGTAAAAGTTAACAATTACGCGAAATAGATTATGTCTATGAAATTTATAGCCAACAACTAACAATCAATTATGGCACATGGGGTGGCACCATAGTATAAATAAACCAAAGGATTAGGCGAGGTTAACTCCTCAGTATCGGTCATCAAATGCACAAACATCCACCACCCTCAAAGAGGGGACCAACACTCCGGAAGCCCCCGGCCCTTCCCCTTGATCATAATTTATTAATAAGAAAAAAAAAGAGATACAATAACAACAGGGGGGACCGAACCAAACCCTGCAGAGGAGAAAGACAATGATAGAAATGCACAACAACATGCTGACCTAAGAGACCAAAACTCTAAAAGAGTAAACAAAAGAAACTAGGAGAACCGGTAAATAGGCATGCCCAACCAATCCCACTAACAAAAAGGCAAAATAAAAGAAGGTGCAGTATCCCATATTAAACCAGAGCCCAAAGCACCATGATTTGCTAAAGCATCAACAGCATGATTACCCTCACGAAAGATATGAGAAATCTTAAATGACATGTGTTGGAGACGATGCAAGCAATTTTGCCAATCAACTCGTAGAAGCCAACACGGGACCAAATGTGGAGAGCGAAAGAATTTAGTAACTAACAACGAATTAGTTTCAATCCAAACATTATGCCAAGCGTGGAGCCAAGCAAGCTCAATAGCCTTAATGACCGCTAAAACTTCAGCATGAACTGCACTAGGAACATCTAAATTGGCCGAAAATGCCCCAAGAACATGGCCCTGATAATCGCAAACCACACCACCACTACCTGCTTTACCAGAGTCGCTTTTGTGAGTGCCATCATTATTAATTTTGACTGAGCCATAGTAGAAAAGTGGGCCAAATTCTCCCGCTCACCCACTAAGTGCACCAGATTCGATTCACTTAGTAGACAATCTTGAGACAACCCAATATTAAAAAAACTAACAATCAATTATGAACTTATCAATAAGCAATAATGTTGTGGCCGTCTTTCTCTGTTAATCATTCAACATTGTGGCTTTTCATTTTTCATTTTAATTTTTTTTTTCATGCCAAAGCAGTCTTTGGCTTACACTTCGGAGTTATGATTAAAGAGTAATGTAGTTCAATTTCAATAAATGAAACAAACAAAAATAATTTGATAGCCTTCACAAAAATGGTTTTGTGCAATGTTCTTCTTTTCCCCACCTTTCATGAATTCCACAAGATTCGAAGGCCTGGAACAACAATCACAAGATAATAGGATCTCCAGTGCTTCATATACTTAAATGAAAGGTTTTTAATGCCCAATGAGACGCTTTATTTTTGGGTTGGCTATGAATGGCATATTGGCTACTATTGCTTATGTTAGTTTTTGTGTTTGCCTTTGGTGTCTTTGTTTCTTTACTGATATCATGCTGTCAGGCTTAAATATTGCTTGTGGTCCTTTTGGAGTTAAGATTGAAGAGTAATGTTGTACTTGATTTCAGTCCCGATAAAACATAAAACATTCATTTTACTTGTAGGCATCAGGGTTGCCCCAAATGGTACTTCTCAAAAACCTTGACCAAACCAAAGGGTCATTACTCGATTTATGCGTGTCATCCTTATCATTCCAATTTTACCAAATCTTTACTTTGCACTAGTAAATTTTCATTAGTAAAGAAGAACAAGGTGTTTCCTAAGGCTCCACGAACCTTTCGAAGCACTCTTGGGGTTTGATTCTTGAATTCAAACACATGGGCAATTTCACTCATTTTGCTCTTTTCAGCAGCCCAGGCCCATCTATAACTGCCGGAACGAAAAAGCTCATACACATCCTTATCATTCCAATCTTATCAAATCTTTACTTTGCACTAGTAAATTTTTATTAGTAAAAAAAAATATTGAAATTCACGAATATGAAGAAAAAAGATACTCCAGACCAAATGTGTAAAGACCAGCAACTGATTTTTGCTTCTTTTTTTTATTATTTAGAATCAAATCAAATAGAAACATTACAATTATCATAGCCTTAGGTGCTAGCCAAAGCGGCTCTGGCTTGATAGACAAGAAAAAGAAAAGGAAAAATGAAAGCCACACCAGTATAATGACAGAGAAAGCACATGCAGTATATTTTCATTTAAGGTTTTAGTTGTAGGCATCTGGGTTGGCCACAAGGTAGTTCTCAATAAGCTTGAACAGACCAGTTGCCTTCTCTTTGCCAGCCTTAACATCCTCTTCCTTGATCTCAACATCACCTCTGGTGTGGTAGTTGCTGGTGCTCTTTATGGTGGAACCTCCATCAGCAGATGCCACCAACTTAATCTCATAACTGATTTTCTCAACCTTGTCTGAAAGAGCATCTCCTTCAACCAAACTGTAGCTGTACACAAAGTTATCTTTGTCAAGCCCGTCAATCCGGTGCTTCACATAGCTGTAATGACTTCCTGTAAAATGAGGATTATAATTAGAAATTAAGAGATTAATGCTTTCAAGATTTATGTTATTAATTAAGCAAACAAGTTTGACTTAGAAGGGGCAATGGCAGAAACCAACCTTCACCAAAGCTAATCTTCTTGATGGTTCCAACACCTCCATCTCCTTCAACAATTTCAGCACTTTTAACTGATTGGGGAGCAATCTTGGGGATGAGGGTGTCAGCTTCAAGAACAAGGGCTTTGAACAATCTTGGTGGGGGGATGACTGAGGTGGACTCGTCTGCGTATGTGAAGACACCCATGATGAAGATGATGATTTGAGAGCTTAGAAAATGATCAAAGAAAGAATGAAAGTGTGAAAGGATTAGATGATTGGCAGGGATGATATTTGATGCTGGAAAATGTGAGAACTGGAGGTGCTATTTATAGAAGGTCAGGCTGTGTGAAATCTGAGCTGTCTATCAAAGACTATAGACTTTGAAAATGAAAGTAAAAAGGACTTTAGACAGCACACCAGTTGTGTTGTAGTATTCTGATCATCAAAGAGGCCAATCAGAATGGACTGTGTACGTAGACATGTGTTTTAGAACATTCTATTAGAAAATTAATTAGCACATCAGCTGATTGTAATAAGTTGGAATTTTTAAAATCAACTTGTAGAGATGGCTTTCTTTGACTAAAATATTCACATGGGAAACAACCACTGAAAACTTGTCCAAACAACTTTATATCCATTGGGGTCACTTCACCCTTAACCTATAAATACTCCCTCTGGTGCTCACATTTCCTCACACCAATATCAATCATTCTCTTTTAGCTTCCTCCACATTCATTCTTTCTTTGATCATTTTCTAAGCTCTTAAATCATCATCATCATGGGTGTCTTCACATACGAAACCGAGTTCACCTCTGTCATTGCTCCACCTAGGTTGTTCAAAGCCCTTGTTCTAGATGCTGACAACCTCGTCCCAAAGATTGCTCCACAAGCAGTTAAAAATGCTGAAATTGTTGAAGGAGATGGAGGAGTTGGAACCATCAAGAAGACTAGCTTTGGGGAAGGTTTGTTTACTTTTCACCAATAATATTGTCTCTCTGTACTAATTAACTTGGTTTTCAAGTTAATATGTATCTTGAAAGCATTAATTAGTGTCTTAATTTCTATAAAAATTTACATTAACCATCCTCAAATTTTAAATTTGCAGGAAGTGAATACAGCTATGTGAAGCACCAGGTTGATGCGCTTGACAAAGATAACTTTGTGTACAGCTACAGTTTGATTGAAGGAGATGCTCTTTCAGACAAAATTGAGAAAATCTCTTATGAGATTAAGTTGGTGGCATCTGCAGATGGCGGTTCCATCATAAAAAACACCAGCAACTACCACACCAAGGGAGATGTTGAGATCAAGGAAGAGCATGTTAAGGCTGGCAAAGAAAGGGCCCATGCTTTGTTCAAGGTTATTGAGACCTATCTTGTGGCCAACCCTGATGCCTACAACTAAACATGTGTGTGATATTGCATGTTTGGACAGCAATCTTCATCTGTCGTCCCTTTTTCTGTTTAGTCAACGACGGTGTGGTTTTAAAGAGTAATGTACTTGTATTTGATTTCAATTTTTCAATAAAGAAAATTTGGACACAATTAAGTTGATTTTCTGTGAAATTATATGTGCAGAATGAATTCCACATCCATATATTATGAGCTAAACAACAATTTGCAAAAGAAAATTATATGTTAACATTTAATTGATAAAGACAACCAGTTCAGAGAACATTATACCAACTTTGCTATTGGTCTAATCAAATACAAATCAAACTGTCTGCTGCATTTAGTACACTAAGTTTGTTAATTCCAACATTTATTATGATTCGTTCAACGTTTAAACAAATTACCGGTGACTAATTCGGTTGACATTAGAAAGCAATAGTTCAAATATAGTCCAAAGTGCAGAACCGAAATTCACTTGTATCTTTGAAAGTGGACTTCATGGATTTGGTATGTGTGTGGCAAGAATCACTTATCAGCTTAGACTTTGATTATGTCACATGTCCGTTGGGAATGAAAATATTCTCAACACATCAGAACGTGTCCAGTTTAGACCAATTGATTCAACAGTAATCCTATGCTATGTCATTACTTCAGTCCGATAATAAATTGTGTAAGAATGTTCCTACCACAGTGCTAAGTAGCTGAACAGAACAAAGCAGCATGAACAGTCCCGGTACAAGTTTTGTGATCCAACATGAACATTTTAGCTCAAATTGCTCTCCCAGTAAAATTATTCAGCTCAGTTCAGCTCAACACAGTAGGAAATGTGATTCAATCCAACACGGACACAAAGACTTTAAAGTCTAACCATTTTTCATCTCCGAATGGATATAAAAGACACCGGATAGCTGACTACAAACTTGGCCTCAATCTTCTGCCTAATGCAGGCATGCTATTGCTCAAAAGAAAAACTCTGGAGCATTTATTCTCATTTATTTTTAAAGCAATCCTACTTGATTAATTTGATCTCCCAGGGTATGAATTCCCAAATGGCATACAAGAAAACAGAGGATATTTGAATTAAAATAGGGCAGGCTTGCTTTGGTGACTAATTTTGCAATAATGTTATAGACAAAACTTGCAAATACAATAAAAATATAAAATGATATTCATTTTATTTTTTATAGAATGAAAAAAATACAGCATTCACACTTTGATATAGCAAAAGGCCAGACACAACAAGGAAACAAAAGAAAAAGGATAACAACATCATTGAATGATGATGACTCTGGAAGTCGGAACCAAAGACTCTCTTTAACATGCTACATTATCACATGTAGAACATTTTAGTTGTAGTCATCTGGGTTGGCCACAAGGTGGTTTTCAATAAGCTTGAACAAACCAGAAGCTCTCTCTTTGCCAGCCTTAACATGCTCTTCCTTGATCTCAACATCTCCCTTTGTGTGGTAGTTGCTGGTGTTCTTTATGATGGAACCACCGTCAGCAGATGCCACCAACTTAATCTCATAACAGACTTTCTCAATGGTTTCAGAGATAGCATCTCCTTCAATCAAACTGTAGCTGTAGACAAAGTTTTCCTTGTCAATGCTGTCAATCTGATGCTTCACATAGCTGTATTGGCTTCCTTCACCAAGGGTAATCTTCTTGATGGTTCCTACCCCTCCATCTCCTTGAACAATTTCTGAGTTTTTGATTGCTTGTGGGGCAATCTTCGGGATGAGGTTGTCGGCATCAAGAACAAAGGCCTTGAACAATCTTGGTGGTGGGATGACAGAGGTGAACTCAGTTTCATAAGTGAACACACCCATGATTATGATGATGATTTAAGAGCTTAGAAACTGTGATCAAAGAAAGAACGGATTCTGTAGAGGTGATTGGATTGATCTTAGAAAGCTTAAGTTTGAGATGAAGAAATGTGAGTGGCAGAGGTGGTATATTTATATAGAGAATGAGGCTGATGGTTTGGCTAGAACAAAAAGAGCTTTGGCAAAGTTCAGTGCATGTTTCCATTGTGGAAAGGAAATCGTGATTTTGAGTTTCTTGAATAATTATTTCAGTCAAGGAAGGCGCTCTAAAAGTTTATTCAAAAGTAGCCGCATATGATATATATATATATATATATATATATATGAGCAAGCTCTATATATTATTGTTTTGTGAGATCTGATTATTTTTCTTTTTGGTTTTACCACCTGATGAAGTATATATACTTGAAGTAATTTTAAACAAATTATGTGCTAATTTCATTTGAACAAATTAAAGGGAAGGACTAATATTGTCTTTTTATTTCTGCCACAAAAAAAAACCTAATTACCACATTTTGGAGGAATAACGTCGAATCTCTATGATCTGTCCTTGGTAAAGTTCTGCCCTGATCTCTTGTGTTTATATGTTCATCAACCTGCACAGCATGTAATAACAGAAGTTACAATAGCACACTCAGGAGAGTCGTTTACATGAACATAAATAAATTGTTAGTTGTTAAGGAATACGAGTTTATGGTAAATTTCACATGCATCAATAATCATCTACGTGTAATAATAATTTTTATTAAGCAACCGAACCAATTTTTTTCAAATAGGGCGGTGCCTAATATCTAATTGATCAAAAGTTGGAAGCAGAAACTTTTCAAAGAAGTAAATTCCAGATTTCCAAAAATGGTTGTCCCTACGTACGTACCTCGCAACTAGTATGCACTTCCAGAACTTCAAACTTCAAATTAGGATGACTTGACTTGCATGTCAACGTGGGCTCCAATATCAATGGGTCAACAATTGATTGCACATAGCTAGTTTTCCTTTTAGGGGTTTTCACATCTTCAAATTGAAATGGCTGAAAATATTTAATTTAGAAACAAGTCTTATGCTCTTATCCATTGATACACAGTCCACGTTTACTAACTTTTTTATGTAACACAGCCAATGAACATGTCAGTTGTGAAAATACATGACAGTATAACAAAAAAAAAATTATGCCAACAAGGTCTAATCCAATGAAAAGGGACCTTGACTTGACTTGTAAACTAGTTGTCTCAGGTTTCGAATCACCATGGCACCTTAGCATTTTCACCCATTTGCTGGCAAAAAGCAAGGGAAGGCAAGAGATGTTACTATTCACAAAAATAGTGCTTGCCCTTTTATTTTTTTTTTTTTTTTTTTGTTTTTTTTTGTTTCTTTCCATTCCACTTAATGGGCAACCACGAGTAGATAAAGCAATATTGAGAAGAGGAATTTGTATAGAGTCTTTGCCCAGACAAGTCTTGCCTTTGGCCTTACCCAGGTTGGTGGAGCCCATTGTTGCCTTGGCAAACCTTAGCCGCTAGAAACATGATTGGCCTAGGGGGCCTCTCACCCGGGTTAGCCCCTCCTGCTGGAAATACTCTTAATTGTGTGTGAATGAGAAATCCCTCTCACTAGAAATTGTTCACTAAGAAACTCAGCATTCATCAAACATCAACATGTAAAAGATAATGACCCAGAAATCCACCACTGAGAAAAACTGGAGTCATCAATCCGACTAGACCCCTTAAAGAATTTATTAAAATACCCACTTAATAAACCAGCAGGAGACATCCACATTACATTGTATGGTCAGATAAACTAAATTATTGCCAACTTGCTTAAATAATATGATTCATTCATACTTTTGTATATATCATTATCTAGTCTTAATCGGTGCAGCCCAAGAGTGGTTTCAAATTTCAATAGCCAACAAAGAACTAAGTTGTTTCTTTGAACCATCATATATACGGAGTCACAGACACTCTCAATATGCTACTATATTGTTACAGAATATGCTCAGCCAAAGCACTCATTTCGTGCACATGGAAATTTTTAACTTTTATTAAACAATAGGCAAAAAATAATTGAGGTTAGTCCACCTCGTGGATTAATTGGAATTTTAAATTCAATTTGCAGATGGTCCTTCCCTTGACTAAATTACAAAATTCCTTTGTACAAAAGTAATGGCTCCCACGTCACAAATACAACCAATTAAACAATTACAAACTTGCATAAACCTTTTGATCACTTGGTTCCTATAAATACCATACCTCCTCCTCACTTCTTCACAACCCAAAATCTCCCATTTAATTACATCATCTTTCTTAGCCTTCCCTCTCCATCAATTATTTTTTTCTCACTTCCCAAACACTTTTTACAGAATCATGGGTGTGTTCACATATGAAACCGAGATCAACTCTGTCATCCCCCCTGCTAGGTTGTTCAATGCCTTCGTTCTTGATGCTGACAACCTCGTCCCAAAAATTGCACCACAGGCAGTTAAGAGCACTGAGATCCTTGAAGGAGATGGAGGCGTTGGAACCATCAAGAAAATTAACTTTGGTGAAGGTAAGTTTAGATTTTTTTTCTTCTTCTGGTTTGTTATTTTAACGTTACAGAAATATTGTTTTGGGATCATCTTATCTCATAACAGAAAGATTCATCTGGTATATATGTATATATTTGTGCAGGTAGCACTTACAGCTATGTGAAGCACAGAATTGATGGGATTGACAAAGAGAACTTCGTGTACAAGTACAGTGTGATCGAAGGAGATGCAATCTCTGAGACAATTGAGAAGATCTCCTATGAGACTAAGTTGGTGGCATCTGGCAGTGGTTCTGTCGTCAAGAGCACCAGCCACTACCACACAAAGGGTGATTTTGAGATCAAGGAAGAGCATGTTAAGGCTGGCAAAGAGAAGGCCTCCCACCTCTTCAAGCTCATTGAGAACTACCTCTTGGAACACCATGATGCCTACAACTAAATTTTCATAGCTGTATTATTCAATCTTATGTCCTCTTTGGCATCAAATAATGGTGTGGTTTTCATTCTCTTTTTTCTTTTTCCTTCGAAAATAGTGTTTGGCTTGTGCTTGGAGCTTTTGATTGAAGAGTGAATGTTGTATTTCCTTTCATTTGCAATAAATAAAATGAAAATGATGGATTTTATGATATTTGCAAGGTTTTTTTTTAAGGCTTATTATCACAAAACGTTCTTAAGGTTTACAAAACTATCATATTGCATCCTTAATGTTTTTTTTGTTATTCGTGGTCCTCAAGGTTAGTATGCATGATCACAAATGGTCCATGCCGTTAGGTTCCGTCAAAAAACTCCGTTAGTTTGCTGACGTGGCATATATGTATACCACAAAACATCCTTGAGGTTCACACACCTATCACAAATGGTCCTTACAAAATTATTTAATTTTTTTAATTTAAAATTCATAAAATTTTAGTTTTCTTTTTAAAATTTTATGAATTATAATTATTTTAAAATATATATTAAATTTTAAATACATGTGATACTATTATTGTAGTTGTGGGCTCCATATATATGCCACATCAACAAACTAATGAAGTTTTTAAAAAATAATTTAAAATTCATAAAATTTAAAATGAAAAAACTAAAGGTTTAGGGTTCATAAATGGTCCTTAAGATTAAAATCCTTCTATAAATGGTTTTTTCATTTATAAATAATTTTAAAAAGAAAACTAAAATTTTATGAATTTTAAATTTTTTTAAAAAAATTCGTAGGGACCATTTGTGATAAGTGTATAAACCTCAGGGATGTTTTGTGATATATATGTATGTCACGTCAGCAAACTAACAAAGTTTTTGACATAACCTAACGGCAGAGACCTTTTGTGATTGCACATACTAACCTTGAGGACCATAAGTGACACAAAAAAATATTAAGGATTCAATCTGATAGTTTCGTAAACCTTAGGGACGTTTTGTGATAATAAGCCTTTTTTTTAATGATATTTGCATATGCCAATTACCAAAAGATTGTGATAATTTATATAATAAATGGATATCATACCAAATAATCAATTTAAATTATATCTTCTTCTTGACCAAAAACAAAGTATTATATTTTCTAACTACATGAGTTGATCGAACAACTATACAAGAAGGTCTATGTCAATTAGCAAATCTCGTAATAAATGATATAAGAGCATCTCCAGCAAAATTGTTATACTCGTCTTTAGGCATTTTAACTAGAATGAGGGCAAAACGACTTACTATATGGCTCTCTATTTTGGAGAACTCTTTATTTAAGTTTGGTTGTTCTCAGTATTTAGAGAGGAGAAGAGAGAAATTGAGGGTTCTCCATTTCTTCCTCTTCTCTTTTCCTAGGCCCACAACCCTCTCTCACCTCTAAATTTTTTATTTTGTAATGAACTTTTAATTTAGAGAAGAGAGGAGGAAAATAATAAAATATTATAGATTAGTCAAAATAGAGAACATTGATGCAGAAAATACTTTTTAACTAGTTTACTATCATAACTTTCTAGTTATGCACTGGTGGAACCACTATGTAGGCTGCCATGGGCTATAGCCCAGGAAAGGTTTTGAGAGAAAAAAATATTACACCAATATAGCCTGAATCTTAACCTAAAAATAAATTTTAAAAATATACAATTTCATTCCTTACCAATAACAATAGGCATAGTCAGAGCATGTTATTGACTCAATCACAAATCTGTTGAATGAAGGTAGCTTGCTTACTCTCAGCCACTAGTTAGAAGGAAATCCCTTGACTTCGCTTATGCCCTTATGGATGCAGTACAGGAGTCTCACTCTCTTTCAGGTTATTCAAAGAGTTACTATTTCAATGGCTAAAGGGAATGCTACTCCTTTCTAAATCAAACAAAAAGAAAGGCACGAAATGCCATTGTCACTGCCATACCTTGTAGTCAATTCTCACACATTCAGCACTGCCACATTTGTATTTGGTGTCAAAAATTGTCCCAACATCAATTTTAATTTTTTATTATTAATTTATCTTCAAAATATAAGCATTTTTCTAAATGAAATTCACCCTTTTGTGAATAATATGACTCTAATTCGATTTTTTCGTGTGTTTACAACTAGCATGGTTTATAAGATTTAATATATACTTTTTATTATAGTAAAAACTATAGAACTGTAACTACCAAAAAAAATATATCATTAGATTTTAAACTAATAACTTTAGCTAGCTCACCCGTTGAACCACCCTTAGAGCATTTCTAGCAAGGGGGGAGGGCGGTGTGGGGTGGTGGTGGGGGGCAGGGGGCAAGCCAAAATGGTGTTTCCAGCAACAAAATTTGGCATGAGCAAGGAAGTGGGACCCAGCGAACTGGGCTGGCCCGAGCTCCAGCCTGTGGGTTGAGTTGACGTTAGTGATGGCTTTCAAATTTTTTTAATGTTGGCGCATGCAATGCATACGCCAATGTTAAAAAAATTTGAACGCCAGTGCTACAGTGTCCGCCAATGGTTATGTGCCACGTGTCGCGTCCTGGGCTTTCCAATCATAATTTTTGCTCCAATCCAACAGTAACCAATTTTTTCCCAATAAAAAAAATGCAAAAAAAATCGAAAAAATTTTAAAAAAATACTGAAATTTTTTTCTATAAATACCAATCGATCATAATTTTTGCTCCAATCTAACGGCTCTGGTTTTCTTCCTCCAGCAAAGCAACTGCTATGCCAAGTTGCTCATCTTGTTCTCTCTGCGCCCTTTTGCTTGCAGCTCGTCTACGCATTCTTTCTTTAGTTTCTCACTTTTGCCTCTCCAAAACCTCTTGCATGTCTACCATTGAGAATGGATAATGAAATCTAAAATCTGAGAAATGGAAATGCAAAGAAGATCTGGTGTGGGAGGCATGAGCTGAGCCTCTGGTTTTATAGAAAAATTTAGGCAGATAGATATGACACGTGGCGCAATCTTATAGGGTAAAAATCTTATCTGTAATTTGAAATTTGAAATTTATATGAAATTTGAATTTCAAAATGTATCTGAAATTTGACATTTTAAATTTATCTGAAATTTGAATTTTGAAATGTATCTGAATTTTGAAATTTATCTGAATTTTGAATTTTGAAATTTATCTTAAATTTGAAACCGAAAATCTTATCCGATATTAATAGTATTGAGACGTAGGAACCCAAAAATCTTATCCGAAAATATTATCCAAATTAATTGTTTAAGTAAACAAAGTTGTGAAAAAAAACAAACAAATGAATAGTATTTTCCATGGCCAAGGGCAACTATTGGAAACACACTTTGCTGGGGGGGGCTAGGGTAGCCACTATTCATGTGAATAGTAGCTGCCCTAGGGCTCCTCTTGCCATGGCAAAGGGCTAACTGCTAGAAATGCTCTTATAACTATGTTAGCTAAAATTTAACTAATAAAATTTGAAGACTACACGACAAGACTAAAATTTGGAGACTACACGACTAAAATTTGATTCGATCGCTACATGACAAGGCTTATGTCAACTACCAAAGGATCATAATAACTGTGGATCTCATTTGCCATGATCAATTTAAAGCATAATATTTCTAACTGCATAAGTTGACATGATCACCATACGACAAGGCATGTAGACTACCAAGGGATTACGATAACTGATAGAACAAATGGATCTCATCTATCACAAAATATGATCAATTTAAAGCATCATATTTATAACTACATGAGTTGACCTAATCACCACATGATAAGTTATATGTCAATTACTAAAGGATCATAATGAATGATATAACAAATGAATCTCGTCTGACCCAGAATACAATCAACTAATTGCAAGTAATGTTGTTTCTTAAGAAAGCGTAATTTTCTAGGAGGAGAGTTTTAACAAAAAGTAAAGAAACCCTAGGAGTCGCCGCCCCCTTCGAGGTCGGTGGCTTCCCTTCTCCTCCCTTCTACTTCTCCCTCCCCCCCTTGTCCCTGTTTTCCTCTTACTCTTTTGTTTTTTGTTTTTCTTTTTTGAAGACTTGGTTGTGGCTCGCTCTAATCTCGTCAATTTTCACATTAAAGCATATGGCAGAGAGTGAATGAGATAGAACAAGACACTTCATATCTAGGGTTTATTCCCCATCAGATTTTCGGTATTCTCCCGTGCCTTGGCAGATCATGATGCTCTTCTCTTCTCTCCCCTTGACAGATCTGGTTGTCTCTGTTATGGATCTAGATGGCTTTGGTTGTGCATCATTTGTAGAGTAAAGTGTTGCTGCTCCTTTAGTCAGTGTGTTTTTTTTTTTTTGGTCAGGGAATACTATTCATTAATAGTGGGAAACATTACAAATTGAGAAAACTCATTCCAATACAGCCCAATACCAACACATATAGCATGCCCAAGGATAGAAAACCAAATAAACAACAAAAGCCCATAAAATATTAAACAAAGAAACCCTAGCTCTAGAACACAGGAGCAGCCACCCATAGCATGCCAACAACACCACTAGAAACAGATCTGCCACCACCAAGGAGGAGTAACCGACACCAGGGGGTATCAAAGAGGCCAACGAAAGTTGGGGGTGAGCAGGCCACCCGCGCGGAAGCGCTCCCATAATCCAAGAGTGAAGTGCAGGATGCACTTTAATCACAGCCACGGACCACCACACACCACCGAGGAAAAACAACGGGAGCAGTGGACGAGGAACCGAGGAGCAAACAGTGGTAGTTGAGAACAAACGCCCAGATGAAGTTGCTGGCCATGGATGGACAGCATCACTACATAGAAAAGATGAGAAGAGTGTAGATGTAAGAAGTGGAGGGTGAAAAGTGAAGGTGGCTGGGGAAGAAAGAAGATGGAGAGATGGGAGATAAAGGGTCTCACAGAGTAGGCTTAACTTGAGGAAAAACAGAAGAAAAAAAAACTAAAGGAAACCGAAGTGGAGGCAAGAAGCCCTAGATCTGAGACAAAGCTCAGGGGAAAAACACTCATTTTGGGTGGGGACCACAGAGGGTGAGGCAAAATCACCACGGAGGGTGAGGAGGAAACAGTAAAAGAAAGAGGGAAACAAGGAGAGATAAACAGAGAGAAAGGAAGAGGAGGGAAAAGGGGGAAGGAGGAATAGGAAGGGAAGGGAGGAGGGGCAGACCACCTCCCCCCCAAAAGCGGCGCTGAAGGGTTGGGGACTAGTAAAGAGAGAGAGTGTGATAATCAGCTATTTTTTAGCAACCAAAGTTATACTTTAGTCAGTGTTGTTTGGTTTCTTATATTTGGTGTAGTTTGGTATTAAAGTCCAGAAACTCTATGAGTTGTCTGGTTTTCTCTTGTAATTCCAACAAATTTGTTGAATTTGTGAGTTGGTCTAGTTTCTCTAGAGTTATGTCAGCGGCCAAATTTTGTCCTTGATGTAATTGACTTGATCTAAGACAACTTAGACGGTATATAGGGGTTTTTAGACAAGTTCTTTGTGATTTATTCTCTTCAAATCGTTTCCGCTCTAGAGCTGACTTTAGTCACTGGGAAACTTTTCTCATATATGTGGTATTGCTAATCGAGATGGCTCCCTATGTACTTTTTTAATTTATCTAATAAAATGCTATCGCTTGTTTGGTAAAAAAAAAAACAACAAAACAATACAAATTTATAAATAAACCCAATCCTAGACATATATTTATAAAAAAAACCCAAACACTATTTAAACATAGAAACACACCCAAAATCAACCCCAAAGTCAACTTTTTGAGTGTGTTTATAAATGGGTTTGAGTGTGTGTAATGATGGGTTTTGGGTGTGTTTATATGTTTAAATAGTGCTTGGGTTTTTTTATAATTTCAACCCCCATTTTGGGTGTTTTAGTGAAACTCCCAAAAAACAAATGGTATCAGCTATCTGATTTCTTTATTATTGTAAACCACTTGACAATTCTCATAAATACCCCATGAGTTATAAAAGCCCAAGTTCATAGACGACTGATTCAAGCTTTTGTCACCAGTACAGTAAATACAACGACCATCAAACTCGATAGAATTACTTTGCCTACGCCTCTATGTATTCACTATGAGGGGCAATCAAGTCTTTTAACGGGTCGGGTCAAGGCCCACTAGACCCAGCTAAATTGGGCTGGTTCAGGCCCACCCACTTGCCCTGAAGAACGCATCTGAAAGTAGATTCGCAGAATCAGGGAGCGTTGAGACTATACATTCCAGTTTCCACTTCGGAGCTGGACAAGTCCGTCAATCTCGAACAGGGAAGGACATTATCGTAATTGCGCATTGCGCATCCAGCGTATATAGAAAGCCCTTCAGGAACAAACCCACAAGACCACAAGTTCTTCTGGACTCTTCGCTTTCCCTCAAAAACCCCTTTCAGCTCTCGTCTGCTCAAAACCATACTCTCGAAACAGTTTCGCCTCGACACGACACCGTATACTGGTTTTATTTTTAGGCAATGTCAGGCTACGGCGGCGTCTCGATCGGTCGGACTCGGGGTGATAACCGGTTCTACAACCCGCCAGCGATACGACAACGACAGCAGCAGCAGCGACAAAAGCTAGAGCAGGAGAAGCATCAAAGGCAGTCTGTGGAGTCCGACGACTGTGCAACGTCGCACAGTTCCGGGTCGGGTCGGGCAGTGCTCACCGATGCCACGAATTTGGATCGGTTCTTGGAGTACACCACGCCCGTGGTTCAGGCTCAGTATATCCCCAAGGTATTGCAAAATCATCATGAAATATAGAAGAAAAATCATTACTTGCATTACTTGTGTTATGGGCTGTGAGGCTTTGTTTGAGTTTGCTAGAAAATAATGGTTAATTGGACTCAAACAACCCAGATTATGGAAATTTAGGCGAGGAATTGTGTATATTTAGTGGCATTGCTGAGAATTTTCAAATTGGTTATCTGTATCACTTCAAAACACTCCAAATTGAGCTGAATACAACTTATCTGTCAAACTTTAGTTAAAGTTTTCTACTTGAAGAATCATACGTATTGGGTTTTCAATTTTATATGGCAATTTCCTGTTGTGGGTTTGGTGTGTTGTTACTGTAATTGTACATGCGTTTCTCATGAGGTCCCATTTTGGTGATGGATAGACAAGCGTGAGGAGATGGAGGACTCATGAGCCAGAGTTACATCCCTACTTTGTTCTTGGAGATTTATGGGAGTCTTTCAAGGAGTGGAGTGCGTACGGGGCAGGTGTTCCGCTTTTGTTAAATGGGAGTGACTCTGTTATCCAGTACTATGTTCCTTATTTGTCTGCTATTCAGCTCTATGTAGACCCATCAAAGCCCTCCACAAGAATAAGGTCAGCAATATCGTAAACGCAACACTTTCAATCAATTCAGTCTGTGTGATTTTTCTACTTGAGCACTCTGGATTATAGTTTATGTTTGTAGTTGCTAAACTCTCTGCAAAGTTCATGCTTTAATGTTACTGTTCATCCTTTATTGTGTCTAGTTTATGGGTTGACATAAATGTCATTTTGTGGGGAAAATCTCATGGAAATTTGAATTTAGTGACTGAAGCAGATAGAGCGTGCTGTGCATTTTGGTGTGATTAATTCTTTTTATTATCATTGTTGGATTCCTTGCACTTCATTTGAGGTTGTTGTATATGATCTCTTTGTTGAGTCACTCTCTGAGATTTAGTTGCCTACTTGCCCTGATTATATCTGTCTATTACAATGTCCTGAAATCCTGATTGTATTTGTATGTTACAGTGTTCTGAAATTTTAATGTCTTCATTTACAGCCCCTTCACTTGTAGCCTAAAAATTGTTTTATGAAATCCATCAATTCTTTGAATGGAATGGTCAAGGCGATTGTGGATACCACTTTGTTGGTTGTGTTACAATTTGTTTTAAATGTAGCTGAATCTTGCAGTATATGAGGATAGTTAATGTGTTATTATCAAGCTCTGTGGGGAAAATGGAGGTTTTAATAGGCAGTGGGAAAGATATATTTTGAAATTAGGTTGTGAAGACGAATTATGGCAGTGTAATGGGGTTTGGTCCATTCATCAGGTGAGGCATCTTATAGGCAGTGGATGAAAAGATCTTTGATATGATGCATGATGTGGTACTTGGATGTGTTGTTACTTTGTGGTAAAGTGAATGTCTTACAGTTTTTGGCATAATCTCTCCTTGGCTTGGCAAAATGTTGCCCAGAGTTGCATGCTAATAGCTAGTTTGAACTGTATTATTCTTGGCTTTAGTAAAATATGCTAGTACTGGAGCCAACGAATTACATATTCCTTAGCTGTGAATAAATTTTGTACAGAAGAACACAAGCTCAATGTTCATTCAGAGGCGATCAATCTGTTGGTTAGTAACTTTTCTTGTGTGCATCTTGTTACAGGAGGCCTGGTGATGAGAGTGATGCAGAGTCATCTAGGGAGACAAGTAGCGATGGAAGCAGTGATTATGGAACAGAAAGAGGATTAAATGGTGCTCCTTATAGTGCTTTAAGTTGGCAGAATGTTGCAGATGTAAATGGCCATGGTTGTAATAGAGCCTTACCAAGGAATAAACCCTTCAATGGTTCCTCAAGTGACGAAAGTGGTGAGGTTTGCAACCCTCCTGGTCAGCTTATATTTCAATATATGGAGCATGATCAACCATTTGGTCGTGAACCTTTGGCTGATAAGGCAAGTCATTGATCTTCTCAGAACACTTACCACATTGAATTTTATTTTTATTTTATTTTTTTCCTTTTGAATTTGATTGTAACATACATTCACCACTTGCATCCAACAGATTTCAGTTCTTGAATCTCAATTTCCAGAGCTGAGAACATACAGGAGCTGTGATTTATCACCTTCTAGTTGGGTTTCTGTAGCATGGTATGCATTTTATACCCTTGTCCAGTCCAGTGATTATACAACAGAGGATTGATACAAATGTGATCATAAATCTGAAAAAAATTCTGTGTAAATTCTTGATAAAGGTATCCGATATATAGGATACCTACAGGTCCAACATTACAGAGCCTGGATGCCTGCTTCTTAACCTTTCATTCCCTGTCGACTCCCATAAAGGGTACCATCACTCTCTCCCTCTCTCCCTACTTGTGTGTTTTGCAAGTCTCGTTATGGTTAATGATATTGTCCTGGGGCAGGTACAAGCACTGATAGGCTTCGGTTTAGTGGTGCACAAGCTAGAGAGGTACAAAATGCAACCTTCAAGCACTCGTTGGCAATCTTTGGGCTTGCTTCCTACAAGTTCAAGGTTTCCTTTTGGAATCTCAACGGAGTTCACGAGTGTCAAAAGGCTAATTCTCTATTGAGAGCAGCTGACAACTGGCTCAGGCTACTGCAAGTTAATCATCCGGATTTCAATTTCTTTGTGTCACACAGCACACCCAGGAGGTGAGGATGAGAGTTATCTCTAGTCAGCGTGCAGTTATCTCTAGTCAGCTTGCAGTTATCATCCCAATACAGATGGGATATAACCTACTGATGAGGATAAACCCTATTCACTGGCCGGTTTTTCATGTTATTGGTTGGATAACACTGTTGGCACTCACTCCTGTCGTTATATTACGTAGATTTGGCCCATTGAAATCTATATTACATCAAAGCAGGATTATGAAAGCGTGTGATTGTGCTTTGTGAGGGCTTTGCTTGATAGGCCGAAAGAAGAATAGGGATGAAACTATCATTAATAAAGGCCTTTTAATTTGGGGAGTGTGCTTCAGAATGGGCGTCATGCATTGCATCAGGCATTATGATGACAGCTCTTCTTAATCTATTTGCTATTTCGAAGTTTAGGGTGATGAGATCTCTCAGGAGCATGTTTGTAGCTATTGACTCTATTTTTTTAATTACTATCTAGATGATGATGATGATGATGATGATGATGATGATGATAATGAAAAAGAAATAAAAAATTACTGATGTTTGTATATATATGTATAGGTGCCTTTTGTTTAGTATGTTTAATCTTAGCATGTGTAAGAATTGACAGTTCAGTTCAAGACGTACATGTTGTGTTATGTATGATGTGATCGCGTGGCGAACTAATAAGTGAATATCATCGGATGAATAATGTGGGAGTCCTTGCATTCATATTCATTCTCCAAATGGCACATCGTGCCAGACGGATTTGGGCTGTCTGCCTTGAACTTCAAGTACAATCGAGTAAGTCCCATCCCCTTAGGTGGCATGTCTACTTACCTGGGATGAATATTGGAATTATTTTGATCCTTCAGTGGCATGTTTACTTATCTGGAATGAATATTGGAAAATTATGGTAACACTCAATAATCATAAATGAATTTAATCTCGTAGTGTGGGCCAGTTATAGCACCGTCCAATTTCTGCATTTCTTTGTAGAACAAAAAATTCTCTCCTTTCACAGAATCTAGTGACATGAAAAGTTTCCCCCCATTCTATTTGAATTTTTAGGTTACCAACTTATTATGATCAGTGCGCATTAATTCCTAGATAACCTTTGGCAAGTTATCATGAACATGTAGAAAGCAAAAGGCAAAGTGAATAAATTATTTCATATTTCCATTATACACATAAAGCTCCGAGTACAATACCAATACATACTTGTTCTGATCTAACTATTACCGGTTGTTACATAAATAGCACAACTTCCCTCGTATTACTTGGGCTCTGCGCTCCGGTCCTAACTTATCAATAACTTATCTCTCCCCACTACACCCCCTTCTAGCTCATAAGTCATCAAGGATGGTGGACATCAGCAATCCTCGAACAAACTCACACTTCCGCCCCTTTTCTTCTTGGTCCTTATGCGATAGCGGTGGTGGTTGCAGGGTTCTGTCATCATTGACCACCCAGCGTTAAAACTCTATAGAAATCATAATAAGTTCACCGCATACAACAAAAACAAATAAGTAGACTCAAAGTCATGCTAATGCTCATACCTTTCCGAGAACTCTTCCTTTGTGCTTTCCTTTACAAAAGAAGTTTCGACTAAAGGACGGGGTTGTGCGCTCACATCCTCATCAACTGTGGGAGGATTATATATAAAGGAAGACAGCAAAGGATCAGCTTCCGTGTTTGAAGAAACAAGGAAAGAAGAACCTCTGAGAAGGGCTTGTAAACTTCCTTCTCGAAGCTCTTTCCTTAATAGAGAGAATGTTGAATTGGATCCCCTGCGAAATTTCCTCTTGCGCTGAACGTAATCTATAGTCAAGGAACACATCACTTTATACTACAGACTTCAAAAGGAAATATGACCAAAACATAAATAAACATGGGAGTGAAAGTTATCCAAGTTTTGATGCAATAAATGGCCATTCTAGAATAGGAGTGACTGGTGCAAATGAAGAGTCTAACAAAGGGAACAAGGTGAAGGTGATACTCAACAACACTGATGATAACTAGTCAGTGTGCTGGCCAGATACATGAAAATATGCAAGAGTGAACCGAAGATAAAGGCCGTATTTTTTAAGAAACAACCATTTCTAACTGTCATACCCATATGTTCTGCCATTAAAATCAAATACAGCAAAAGCGGGCTTTTCTAAATCACACTTATTTCTTTCAAAAGTGTTCATTTGATAACAAATTCAACCCCCTAGATATAGATATAATAAGCATGTATGTAAATGATAACCAAACCAAGCATGGAAAAATTCAAAACTAAAGTGAAATTCACCAAAGGATATCTTTAACAAACTCCCATGTTGTGTGGTAATATGGCTCACAAGGTTTGCTCCCACCCTTTTGGAACAAACTGGACAGACCTGGAAGAAAAAAAAGCAGAACATTCAAAACAATAACAATAGGCTAGTTCATAAACAATCCAAGAGAAAGGAAAATTATAAATAGTAACAATGGGCACGTTCATAAACAACCCAAGTGAACCATTCCTTCCTTTTTTATTCAATTTAAGAAAACAATTACACATGCAAGATTAACTATCAGTACATTAATGAAGAAAGATAACTACAAGGTTGACCTGACTAACCGAGCTCCTACAGACTAGCTCATACCCATAGGTCACACTCAAGCCCATATACCAGTCTAGTGTTGAGCATACCACGCACAACACTAACAAGGAAAATTCCAACATTGCCTTTCTAAAAGGCTTCAAACAAAAATCAAATACTAAGATGATTAACCCTCTCACCATCATCTACGCCATGCACCCCATCATCAGTCATTACAAACCCACCTCCATGAAAGTACCTCTAAGTTGCAACTCAAACCTACTCAAAGGAAAGTCCAACTCAACCAAACCCATTCAAAACCACAGCCAAACGACAAAAAACCAAGTAAACCACTAGCATCCCTTTGAATGCTATCACAATGATAGATTTCCTCCCCTAAAGTTCGCTCAATCTCTACAGAATCATGAGTTTCGTCGTAAATTATGCAAATAAAATGTTCCTTTCTAAGATAAATTGAGAACTGAACGACCATCAAAATGCTTACACTAACATTTCTAGGGCAAAAACAAAAGAAAACCTTAAGAGCTCGTACTTTTCCAAAATTCTAAAAGCAAAGCTAGCTGGAACTAATCGATTAAGAGTGCAAAACTTCAAAATTAACTAAATTCAAAAAATTGAATTACATACCCCGTTCTTAGCCTCCACCGGATGTTCCTCATCGAAGTGGCAACAAAGCCCAACAACATCAAAATCCTCGGCGCAAAAAGGGCACAAAAACTCGGCCTTTAACTCATCGTCTCCATCAGTTTCGTCGTGCGCAAACAGATCTGCAACACCCGCAACCATCAGCACCAAACACATTCACAAAACACCGAAAACAAGAAAAATGACGCAAACCTGGGGTAGTTTGGGAAAAGTGACCGGATCGAGATTGGTACCGCCTCGTCGAAGAGCTCGAGAAGAGACTGCTCCACGAATTATCAGACTCCATCTTGATACACATACACAATTCAATCAAGGCGATGGCGAATTGGGAGCTCAAATCGAATTTGGGTCCAAATTTATAAAACCCTAGAAAGATTGAAGACGACCAGAGATGAAGCGAGTGTGTGTGTGTGTGTGGTGCGAGTGTGAGGAAACAACCAAGTAATAGCTTGAGAGAGAACACAGAAGACTCCACCGAACCTCCGGTGCGGTTTACCCTGCTGTTATAGTCCCCGCGTGGCGGAAATAGCCCGCGGATTTTCTGTTAATTTCGTAGATGCCCCTAACTATCTGAGCCATGCGATTTTTAGACAGGTGCAAGGATTTGATTAGACAGATAGCATGTGTGTGAATGACATTCACACGTGTGGAGGTCGTGATTTTTCAGAGGCGTTTTATGTTTAATATTTGTGGCTTGACCCATCCCTTGGTGGCATGTTTACTTACCTGAAATAAATATTAGAATTATTTTGATTATTCAGTGGCATGTTTACTTATTTTGAATGAATATTGGAATTATTTCGGTATTCAACTTCCCTTTAGTATATATAGGTCTTGAAATTATTTCATTTCATGACTTCATAAAATCTAAATTTCTAAGCTTGAAAATTCAAGAATTAGATTGATTAGGGCAATCTCAGACCTTATCTAGTTGAGGGATGGCGTACAAGGCCAAGAGCTCTTTAGGCAAAGGGATTATCCTCCATCCCACAAACTTGCCCTAGGGTAAAGACTTAATTATTTGGAAGGAAGAAAGGGTTAGGTTTGGTGAGCAGAGTCTTTGCAGAGAGAAATACTTGTGTGAAACATGAATAGCACTATTTTGTAATCCCAAACCAAACGCGACATTCCACATTTAAAAACTTTTCTGCATGGCAGTGCTCGGTTTATGCTTGGGAGGACAATTGGAAATGTGAGAATTTATGCATGAATCTAATCTCGTAGTGTGGGCCAGTTTTAGCCGGCATCAAAACTGTATTGGAAATCCTAGATGAGTTTCTCCCACTCCTCCAATTTTGCCATCTGCCCCTTTCCCACAATCATTTTCATTTACGCAGGTTCATAGAACCAACCTAGGCTGCATTGTCAAATCTAGTCTAGCACCATCCAATTTCTGCATTTCTTTGTAGAACAAAAAATTCTCTCCTTTTACAGAATCTAGTGACATGAAAAGTTTCCCCCCATCCTACATGAATTTTTAAGTTACCAACATACGATCAGTGCGCATTAATTCCAAAATAAACTTTGGCAAGTTATCAAGAACATGTAGAAAGCAAAAGGCAAAAGTGGATAAATTTATTTCATATTTCCATTATACACATAAAGCTCTGAGTACAATACGAATACATGCTTGTTCAGATCTAACTATTACCCGTTGATACATAAATAGCACGCGACTTTCTTCCCTCATATTACTTGGGCTCTGCGCTCTGGTCCTAAGTTGTCAATTCCGTATCTCTCACCACTACACCCTCTTCTAACTCATAAGTCATCAAGGATGGTGGACATCAGCAATCCTTGAACAAACTCACACTTCCGCGCCTTCTCTTCTTGGTCCTTATGTGATAGCGGTGGTTGTTGCACAATTCTGTCATCATAGACCAGCCAGCGTTAAAACTCTATAGAAATCATAGTAAATTCACCACATAGAACAAAAACAAATAAATAGACTCAAAGTCATGCTAGTGCTCATACCTTTCCGAGAACTCCTCCTTTGTGCTTTCCTTTACAAAAGAAGCTTCGACAAAAGGATCGGGTTGTGCACTCACATCCTCATCAACTGTGGGTGGGTTATATATAAAGGAAGACAGCAAAGGATCAGCTTCCGTGTTTGAAGAAACAAGGAAAGAAGAACCTCCGAGAAGGGCTTGTAAACTTCCTTCTCGAAGCTCTTTCCTTAATATAGAAAATGTTGAATTAGATCCCCTGCGAAATTTCCTCTTGCGCTGAACGTAATCTATAGTCAAGGAACACATCACTTCATACTCCAGACTTCAAAAGGAAATATGACCAAAACATAAATAAACATGGAAGTGAAAGTTATCCAAGTTTCAATGCAATAAATGGCCATTCTAGAATAGGAGTGACAGGTGCAAATGAAGAGTCTAACAAAGGGAACAAGTTGAAGGTGACACTCAACAACACTATGATAACTGGTCAGTGTGCTGACCAGATACATGAAAATATGCAAGAGTGAATCTAAGATAAAGGCCATATTTTTAACAAAACAACCACTTCTGACTGTAATACCCATATGTTGTCATTAAAATTAAATACAACAAAAGTTGGCTTTTCTAAATCACACTTATTTCTTTCAAAAGTGTTCATTTGATAAGGAATTCAACCTCCAGATATAGATACAATAAGCATGTATGTAAATGATAACCAAACCAAGCATGGAAAAATTCAAAACTAAAGTGAAATTCACCAAAGGATATCTTTAACAAACTCCCATGTTGCGTGGTAATATGGCTCACAAGGTTTGCTCCCACCCTTTTGGCACAAACTGGACAGACCTGGAAAAAAATGAAAACAGAACATTCAAAACAATAACAATGGGCTAGTTCATAAATAATCCAAGAGAGATGAAAATTATAAATGGTAACAAAGGGCACGTTCATAAACAACCCATGTGAACCAGTCCTACCTTTTTATTCAATTTAAGAAAACAATTACACATGCAATATTAACTATCTGTAAATTAACAAAGAAAGGTAACTTCAAGGTTGACCTGACTAACCAAGCTCCAACAGACTGGCTCAAACCCATAGGTCACACTCAAAGCCATATACCAGTCTAGTGTTGAACATACCACGCACAACACTAACAAGGAAAATTCCAACATTGCCTTTCTAAAAGGCTTCAAACAAAAATCAAATACTAAGATGATTAACCCTCTTGTCTCACCATCATCTACCTCATGCACCCCATCACCAGTCATAACAAACCCATCTCAATGAAAGTACCTCTTAGTTGCAACTCAAACCTACTCAAAGGACAGTCCAACCCAACCAAACCCATTCAAAACCACAGCCAAACGACAAAAAACCAAGTAAACCACTAGCATCCCTTTGAATGCTATCACAATGATAGATTTCCTCCCCTAAAATTTGCTCAATCTGTACGGAATCATGAGTTTCTTTGTAAATTATGCAAATAAAAAGTTCCTTTCTAAGCTAAAATGAGAACTGAACGATCATCAAAACGCAAACACTAACATTTCTAGGAGAAAAACAAAAGAAAACCTTGAGAGATCGTACTCTTCCAAATTTCTAAAAGCAAAGCTAGCTGGAACTTATCGATTAAAAGTGCAAAACTTCAAAATTAACTAAATTCAAACAATTGAATTACATACCCCGTTCTTAGCCTCCACCGGATGTTCCTCATCGATGTGGCAACAAAGCCCAACAACATCAAAATCCTCAGCGCAAAAAGGGCACAAAAACTCGGCCTTTAACTCATCGTCTCCATCAGTTTCGTCGTGCGCAAACAGATCTGCAACGACCACAACCATCAGCACCAAACAAATTCACAGAACACCAAAAAACAAGAAAAATGACGCGAACCTGGGTTAGTTTGGGAAAAGTGACCGGATCGAGATTGGTACCGCCTCGACGAAGAGCTCGAGAAGAGACTGCTCCACGAATTATCAGACTCCATCTTGCTACACATACACTATTCAATCAAGGCGATGGCGAATTGGGAGCTCAAATCGAATTTGGGTCCGATTTTATAAAACCCTAGAAAGATTGAAGAAGACGAGAGATAAAGCGAGTGTGTGTGTGTATGTGTGTGTGTGGTGGTGTGAGTGAGGAAGCGACCGAGAAATAGCGTGAGAGAGAACACAGAAGACTCTCTACCGAACTTCCGGTAGGGGTTAAGCTTTATTTTATAGTCCCTACGTGGTGGAAATAGCCCGTGGATTTCCTGTTAATTTCTGAAATGCCCCTAACTACCAGAGCCATGCGTTTTTTATACAGGTGGAAGGATTTCATTGGACAGACAACGTGTGTGTGAATGTCATTCACACGTGTGGAGGTCGTGATTTCAGAGTTTTTTTCTTTTTCGATTTTTTGTTTAATATTCGTGGCTTAACGCGGTTTTTATGGTCTCGCCTTCTCGCGCACGTTTTGATTAGAACTGTATGGGCCCCGCACGCTTTGGAGAAATTAGTGAAAATTGGTTTGGATTAGACTAAGTTATGTAAATCCAAATCCATTTCAACTTCTTTTGCTCGAAATTAACACTGCAAAGGGAAACAGGGAAAACCATTTTGATTCCAATTACGATTAATAAACACCTCATAAAAGGAAAATCATTTTAGATGTTTATTCAAGTATAGAATGCTTTCTTTAATAAGGATGTCTTTATTTTTGCTCAACACTTTAATCCAAGGTGTACCATCATAATCTTTCTCAACACTTGACACATATCCATGAGTATAGACATAGTTACGCAAATACAAAGAAAATAGTTAACTATGGTTATGCTCATGGACATAAGTCAAGTGCTGAGAATGATAATGAGGGTATATTTTAGATTAAAGTGGTGAGTAAAAATATTTTCAAACCAAAAATCGTTTAGCTAGTTACTCACGCAATCATATCAGTTTGATTTAAAGAATTGTAATTTTTCACATCTTGGATGATTTTTTCCATGAACGGCAGTTGAAAGATGGCCAAAAAATATAGAAATTTTCGAGCATTGAGTGATATTGTGAAGTAAGAGCATCTTTCTCTCTCTTCAGAAATGGTAGCTGACTTTGGCCCTTCAAACATTTAATTTAATTTTAGAAAAACAAAACCTACCTTGAAAATGTTTAAAACATGCCTTTTTTCTTTTCATATAATAAATGCGTAGACATTTTTCACATATTTTCATATTTTTCATTATTTTTCATGATATTGCATTAACTGAATTGAAGAGTTAACTCTAACCATACAAAAGCATCTATGTGCTATAAATCTATTTCGTACTAATATCAGGTCAATATTGTTCCTGATTTAAAGAGGTGGTGTCCTACATAATTATGAGTCCTATTGTATGTATATAGGATGTTTTACTTAATGTGCTAGTTGTACTTTGAACCTAAATAATACCCTCATAACTACATCCATTTAGAATTTGCTACTCTAAATTATAAACATTAATTGTACTATAAGATTATCAGACAATAACATTTCTTGTCTTATTACTCAATGTGTTTAGTTTAAAATAATAAACACTTGTGATTTATCATTAGAAATCCCTCACGTGTATGATTCAATCACATGAACAAATAAATTCGAGGAGCAAATATTTCCGTCTCCTATCACGACACGCCACGTGGAAAACAAGATTATCTCTTAAATTAATTAATTGAACCAGTTTATCTAGTCAATTAATTAATATGGATAAATATCTGAATTAATAGGATATTATCTTTATTTAATAAGATAATATCATAAATTCAGATATTATCCTAATAAAGAGAATATAATATCATTAACTTAGGTATTATCTTCATAAAGAGAAGATATTATCATTAAATCATATATTATCTTCAATAAAGAGATATAATCAAGTCCGACTCGATCCCTACGAATTTGGATAGAGAATAAACTCGTCATATTCTCTACGAAACCCTAGCCCCGAGGCTCTTATAAATAGACGACTTCATTCATCATTCAAGGTACATCTAAACCTACTCCCAAACTCAACAAAAATACCCAAAGCTCTCTCTCCCTCTCCTCTCTCCATATTTTCTCCACACGGCTCCGGCCACCACACACGGCTCCGACCGCCCGGTTCACACCATATATACAACTTTGTACCCTTTGCTTAGCTATTGTTTTCCTACAAACACTTGAACTAACTTAGGCATCGGAGGGTCTTTGGCCAACACCTCCCTGGTGTAATCTATTTACTCCAATCTTTTTTACAGGAATCGAGGAAGAGAGAGAAGGAAGATCGAAGGTTGAAGGACCTAGAAGAGAATATTCTCCCGTGAGATTATTTGCACAAACATTTGGTGCTTTCATTGAGAGCATGAGTTATACTCAATGCGTGCTCAAGGAATCTGTTCCTCCTATTTTCTAATCCACCGAAGCCTTCCCAAAAACCATGGTTGGAAGCAAGCTCACGAGGAGCAAAACCGTTGCGATGGCTCAATCTGTGACGACCCAAAGCTACTCCTCCCATGATCCCGCAGCAAACCCTAGCTGCCACACCACAGCAACCACCCTGTGTGATTGGAACCACCGCGCCGACCTCTACCATTGTCGTACCATCTCAAGGTCTCATGGCCAAATCTAGCCACCTTTATAGCACTACTGCCAAGCATGGTGGAACCTCCCTCAAGGTGGTGTTGGTCTGTCGCGAATCTCGCGACCTGGTGCTCCGGGCCGAGGGGATGCGCGTCAACACGTGACGTCCTTCTTTTGGATGCGGTGCTATTGTGCGCGGGCGTGCCAGCACTGTCTACCGTGCGTCGAGATGATGATGAGGTTCGGGTAGAAGATGGTTTAAATGTTGCGCATGTTTCACGTTCGACTCCTAATCAAACGATTGTGGCCGAGTCAGGAACGAATCTCGGCCGTCAGGTTCACGGCCTAAGCAACAAGGCCGTTTAGTGGTGGTGTTGGTGGTGGGTTTTAGGCGGTGCTCCGGCGCGTTGCTCAGAGAGCAACGGTCTTATGATATATGGGGTGAGTGAGGCGATAACAGAGATTGTGCTCCGGCGCCTTGAAAATCAAGGGTCGTATGATATATTGATGAATGGATTTTCCTTACAGTCTACCACTACTCCTAAGAAAGCAAATAAAGGTATTGAAAGTGCATTACAGGAAAATATAATTTGCTCCGTGGGAGGCTTTTGGTTTTGGTGTTTGAACCCTTTGAATGTAATCCTGAGCTTAGTATTTATAGGAGTCCTGGAGGGACATTCGAGGCTGACAAGACCTGTGTGGAGCCTGACCGAGGCAAGTGGGTAGTCAAATCGACATTTGGGATCGTGAAGCATGGTGGCCTGGGGTTGAGAAGCATGGTGGTGTAACCCCCATAAATCTCGGCAAATCTCGGTCACCGCCCTGATCGTAGGTCTTTGGCCGTGGGAACGCATTTAATGCCCTGGTCTGGTGGTTGGTGACCTGACCCTAAGTCGTAAGATTACTTGTGAGAATGTCTGCGCCTAACCACCCTGATTCCCATCACCAAATCCTGACTTCAGTCACTTCCCTCGTGCATTGAATGTTTCTTGTGACTAGTGGGTTTTGCTGCGAAGTCAGAGGCATTACTTCATTAAATGGAGCGTGGGGCCCTGAGGCCACGTGGCGATTCAACCACAGCTTTTCAGATTTTTATGGCCTTCGGCCTCGGCTTTTAAAACTGCGGTTGCGAGGCCGAGGGGATTCTGTCTTTGCAGCTTTTCTTCTGCTCTTAGGAAGGCGAAATGCCTAACGAAACGGTAGGCGCCAAGGCCAAACGGAAGTCCCTTCAATCAGTTCATGACCGTGATTTATTAGGCACAAACAGGTGGGCTCACTACCACCACCGACTTTGGCCCAATCTTGGAGTAACTTCAGGCGTTCCCTCCATTGCCTCCATGCTTGACGCACACTCCCGCATACACACCCAATGAAACCTTAGCCCGTGTGCAATTGGGCTCCACACATTTCTCTCCTCCTGATCCACGAAATCAAGTAAACCTTAATCTGAGAGTTGACCAGCTAACTCAAAGAATGGATGACCAAAATAATTTGATGAGGCAGCTCCTCAACCAAATAAACTTGGCTAAAAACCTTGGCCTTCAACAACAAGGCAAAGAGAGAAGGATGGACGAACCCGCTGATAGGCAGTTCCATTGGAACCCAACAGATCGAGTAGGAGTAAGCCGACAAGGAGATGGACAACAACGCAATCAGCTTACCAACATGTCATAAGCATCTGCAAGCCACACTCAGAGCAGATGAAGTCTCCTATCCAAATTGAATTTAAGGACCAACGTGCGAGATAGGCTGGGCCCAAGACCTGACATCCACGCTCACTTAGGTCCACAGGGAAATGTTCATGAAAGACTAGGATCCCGGGGAGGTCAAACTGACAATCATCGTAATGAGGATCGTGAAGAAAGGCGCTCCGCTGCCTGCTCGCAGAGAAATATTCACAACAGGTTAGGCCTCCAGGGAGGTCAACTTGATAACCTTCACAATAAAGATAATGAAGAAATGCGCTCCGCTGCTCGCTCTCGAAGAACCAATTCTCGTCGCCAAGTCACAGAAAATCTCTCACAAGCGCAGTCCCTTAACACGCCACCTAGGCAGCGTAACCAAGAAAGTAGATCCTTGCAAACCAAATAGGAAGTTAATCAGCCTCGCCCAAGTCATAAAGGTCATCAACGTGCCCAACCAGCCATGTGTGCAGAATACGTTGAGAAGCTTGTGAATAATCGACTTTGAGACTTAAAGATTGGTGGAAATTTCAAAGATGCACTACGCATTGAGATGGACCGAGCAAACTCCTCACCTTTCACCGTTGAAATCGAACAGGCTGCTCCCCCGAAACGATTCTCAACGCCCTCTTTCACATGTTTCAAAGGAGATTCCGATCTCGAAAGCCATCTGAAGCATTTCAAAAGCCTTATGATCCTCTACAAAGCCGAAGACGTGCTAATGTGTAAGGTGTTTGCAATGACTTTGCGAGGAGCAGCTCAAGATTGATTACATACCCTGCCATCCGGGTCGATCAACAGCGTCAAGGAGCTTACTTACATCTTCACTAAATAATACACTTCGTATCAGACGATCAAGAAGAACCATGACCATCTGTTCAACCTGCACAAGAAATTTGATGAATCCTTCCAAGACTACATCAAGAGGTTCAAAGCAGATAGGGAAAACATTGTAGGATGTGATGACCAAATTGCGTCCTCCGCCTTCAAGAGAGGGTTGCCACCTGAACGTGAGTTGTATCGGGAGTTGGTCATCTCTCCTTGCTAAGCACTGGTAGAAGTCTTCGCTACAGCAGAGCGCTATACACTATGGGATGACGACCAGATCGCCGCGAAGAAGGCTGATCAAGCAGCTGAGCAGGCAGCCAAGAGAACAGCAAGCGCAGATCACAGCCTCAAACAGGTGCTCCAGCAGCGGAGAGTTACACTAAATTCACTATACCGATACACCAGATCTTGGCATAAGTTAAGGACATGCCTTGGTTGAAGAAACCATCGCCTTTAAAGGGAAACCCAACCAAGAAGGATACCAGTAGATACTGGACATTCCATGAAGGGCATGTTTATTACACAAACGACTGCTTCGCCTGGAAAAGGCACCTCGAAGATCTAGTCAAAGATGGCCATTGCACGGAATTCATTGCAATGAGGGCTATCCAGCAAATCAAGGATTGTGACACAGCTAACAATGAGCCCACGAAAAAAGTTATATGGATCAACACGATCATAACTGACTCCAAGTGTCTGGGCTTACCACCAGGGGCAAAAGAGAAAGATCAAGCAGGCGACTTTCGTCTCTCAACCGTCACTAGCTACCAAGTTATGGAAGACAAATCTTTCATCATATTTCAATGGAAGGAAGTTCCAAGGCAATGGAATGTCCATCACCTCCAGGGGTACTATCCATAAAGCTTCAAACCTATCAGCTGGGCTCTCAACAGGTGGCTAAGCCTTCCTTACCTCCATTAAAGACAAGTTACTTTTGATGTTACTCATGCAACTCATCTTTTTTGTTCAATAAAGAAATGTAGTCGCACAGACATCAATATAAGTACAAGCTTTCTTTCCAATGGAATGTTCACAAAAGCAATCGACACGTCTCCGGGTGTAGGCCAAACAGGCCACTCTCACCGACACGACTCCGAAAGTAGGCCAAACGGGCCACTCTCCTCGACACATCTCAGAACGTAGGCTAAACGGGTCACTATCATAGACACGCCTCCGTACGTAGGCCAAACGGGCCACTATCATCGGCACATCTCCGGACGTATGCCAAATGGGTCACACATATCAACATGCCTCCAGACATAGGCCAAACGGGCCACTATCAACCACACATCTCCGGACGTATGCCAATGAGTCACACACATTGACATGCCTCGGGACGTAGGCCAAACGGGTCACTCTCATCGACACATCTTCGAACGTAGGCCAAACGGGCCACTATTATCGACACGTATCTGTACGTAGGCCAAACGGGTCACTATCATCGACACGTCTCCGGACATAGGATAAACGGGCCACTCTCATCGACACGTCTTCGGACGTAGGCCAAACGGGCGATTATCATCAACACATCTCCGGACGTACGCTAAACGGGCCATTATTATCGACACATCTCCAGATGTAGGCTAAACGGGCCACTTTCATCGACACGTCGCCGGGCGTAGGCTAAACGGGTCACACACATTGACACGTCTCCTAACGTAGGCCAAACGAGCCACACTCATCGACACGTCTTTAAACTTAGGACAAACGAGCCACTATCATTAACACGTCTCCGAACGTAGGCCAAATGGGTCACACTCATCGGCACGTCTTTAGACATAGGCCAAATGGGTCACTCTCATCGACACGTCTCCGGACGTATGCTAAACATACTACAACCCAGAAACACTTAAGCAATTCACAAGACACTATGCGAATTGAGGTTCTAAAATAATAACAATTGAAATTTCATAGCAAAGTGACTAACCGGCCAAGTTCAACAAAAAGAAGATGGTCGCACAAGACCAATTATTCTAAACAACGAGCAGACTACAAAAGCTGAAAAGAAATAAATGAGTCTTCATCTACTCCGAGATGCCAATAAAAGATCCCTGATCTGTAGTCTTTTCCGCATCCGCCTAATCAGCCATGCTCTCAGCAACTCCACCTTCCTAATCCTCGACATCTGCCACCACTTCTTTTCTGAAGTAAATAAAATGTTGATTCCTTTTGTTTTTCCAAGGAAGGACTTGAAAATGTATCAAGATCACCAACCTGATAGATATGATCAGACACACCTGCATCCCCTGCAAGGCTGGACTCATCCACCTTGGAATCAGCCACTAATGTTGCAAAAGAACCTTTTGCCCGGGCAGATGACTCTTTTGCCGTCTTGGCCGCTGCCATCCTCACCTCCAAAGGAGTCAACGACGACGAATCAACTCCAAGCTTGACTGCTTGTCACTTAACAGTTGGATCATGATGGTTGGGTAGATGAACAGACCTCCCAGTTCAACCTTCATCCTTTAATTGGTACAGACAACACAAACTTTGGGGAAGAACATATGCATCTCTTTGCCTCCCAGCAAGTAAACTAGATCACGTACGAACCACTTCACGGAGCAGATCACAGTCTCCAAACTTGTTTGTAGGAGACATGAGTGGAACATCCCTGATATTTTGCATATCGCCAATCTTCTTGCTATATGCACCAATAAGATGTTTAACTTTAGCTAATGATGGAGGAACAACTCTTACTTAAGTCTTCTTAGCAGAAGGGATCCTTATCTTCTTCCTCAATAGGGACACATCCTTCGCTAGCAAAGTCGCAGCTCTTGAAGACTTGACATCAGCCTTTCTTTTAAAGGATCATCATAGTCCGAACCATTCTGCTTCCATCTCTCAACACCCTGGGCAGGGGGCAGACCACCAACTTTCTCCCGATACTCGCTCAGCAGCAACCAACGGCCACCACCACCCCAATCGTCTTCAGCCGCCAGTCACAATGTCAACCAGCCTGGTCCCACCCAATTAGTCCTCGCCGTGAAAAAGAGAAAACGAAGAAAAATATACGTACTCGACTTACCCTGGGATGAACGACAACTCTTCTCTTCGACAAGCAGTACAAATTCTCCAAAAATTTTCTCAAGCTAGAAAGTAGAGAAGTTAAGTTTGCGATGTGAAAAAGAGTGAAGAGAGGCCCTGTATTTATACAAGTTGGACAAGGCAGGTCAAGAAAGAATCACAAGCTCATTCCTACTAGGAATCCAGCTCCAACAACAGTCAGAAGCTTGCACCAATTAATTAATATGGATAATATCTGAATTAATAAGATATTATCTTTATTTAATAAGATAATATCATAAATTCAGATATTATCCTAATAAAGAGAAGATAATATCATTAATTTAGGTATTATCTTCATAAAGAGAAGATATTATCATTAATCATATATTATCTTCAATAAAGAGATATAATCAAGTCCGACTCGATCCCTACGAATTTGGGTGTATAATAAACTCATCATATTCTCTTCGAAGCCCTAGCCTCGATGCTCCTATAAATAGACGACTTCATTCATCATTCAAGGTACATCTAAACCTACTCCCAAACTCAAGAAAAATACCCGAAGCTCTCTCTCCTTCTCCTCTCTCCATATTTTCTCCACATGGCTCCGGCCACCCGATTCACACCATACTTTCTCCATATTTGTCTTTTTACTTTCATTTATTTTTATATTACTCCATTTACTTAATTTTACAATGTAAATAAGGAAGTACCCCCCATTTGGATTCAAATAAAAATACTAGAAAATCAAATTCCCCTCAAATCAAAATTTGAAAAATCGGTTTTAGTGCAAAATACGATTTATGCTAAAAATGATAGCTCATTAAGTCAATATATTTCCTAATAAAATCCCATAAAATCAAGTTTTCTTATTTGATGTGTAAGGAATAAAAGCCGCCAAAATTATCTTGAGAAATTGATTATTCCGAAAAACCATTTTTTGTACTTAGTCAATATTTTTACATAGAACAATTTTTCATGTATGATATGAATGCATGAAGGGACCTAAGGTCAATCTAGGTCAAAAGTCTTAGATGTTCAATCCACAAAGAGTTTTTAACCTTTCAAAATTGCACTTCCGCTAAAAATTCTTGGGTCCGCCAGTGCCCCCGGGTGTGGTATATTTACTCTAATATTTTTACAGGAATCGAGCAAGAGAGAGAAGGAAGATAGAAGATTAAAGGATCTAGAAGCGAATATTCTCCCATGAGATTATTTGCACAAACATAAACCACATTCATTGCTGCAATCTCATAAATAAAATATGTCCACACTTTCATTGAACTAACTATTTCTGGGGTTTACACTCCAACAGTATCTACGAATCAATGTCAAACAAAATCATGATCATATAAGGAAACAAAATATGTTGTTTCATATCTCAAGGCAAATGTGATAATGCTGGAGCTGGACAAAAATTACCAGAAATGATACACAAACAAACAATTGCCTACATAATTACAATGCTACAAAGGAAAACAGGAGCAGAAAACGACGACATGCTTGCAACTTCAGTTCTTCTTCATGTTCTTGTTCGCGTAATGCTGCAGGCCGATGCCTTAAAGTCCTCTGCAAAAGGTCATTGACACCAAGCTTTAGGTCAAAAGTCATGTTGGGAAGTATAGATGATAGCACATTCACATCTCACATGGCCCTGTGATTTGAACCCTCTAGAGAGATCCTATAGAACTCACGAAGACCCTGAAGTGAGATCTTTGGAAGAGCCTTTAATCCTGTCAATAGTACCAGAAATCGTTAATCTTGTAAAAGAAACTGTGTTCTTTCTTTTCTTTTCTCTTCTTTTCTACATTTATAGCTCTTACCATGTGTGCTGATGGACGAGTTTATAGCTCTTACATTTATAGCTCTTACAAATAAGAGTTTAGGCTAACTTACAAGTGTGCTGATGGATGAGGACCGGGGTGACCTTCTTCCGTGATGTCCGAAGTTTCGAGCGGGGGGCTAGATCCGAACTGAGGAGAGGATACCGATGTGGTACCTGCCGAAGGCACTCCAATGCCAAAGTTAATAACTAAGAGCGATTCTATTGACAGTGGAAGCACTAGTCAAGTCAGAAAGTCTTACCACTTGGCTGGGCCAAGAGACTCTATTTATAGAGAGCATTTGTGATGCTCTTAGCACTTAGTTTCGATGTGGGACTTGTGGGAGTGTCTTCGTAGATCGACACATGCTCTGACAGGTTCTGGCAGAAGTTCTGAGGTAATCTGACAGAATTGGATTGACGTGATGGTTGGTACAGCGTGCCGAACGAACATTCGGTATGGCCCGGTTGAGCTGGTCTCGGCATTGAGGGTGTTCCACGTGTCACGACGTGAGTGGGCTGTTAAATATGGTACAAACAGTAATCCCCCAAGTTTTCGATCAAGGAAGGACTTCTTGGTTGAGGACTTGCTTGTCCCTGAGCTCCGGCATTCTAACCCGGGAACGAGCGTCTGTCGTTTGTAAGCCGGGGATGATCATGTAGTCCCCCAAGTCCTCAAGCCAAGAGGTTGGTTTGAAGATTGGAAGGGAATCGGCAGGAAGAGGTGAGTGAAAACTCGACCCATGCGTGCCTGCCGTTCGGCACAAGAGGTGAGTGAAAACTAGACCAGGCGCGCCTGCCGTTCGGCACGAGGTGTAAGTGAAAACTCGACATGTGCCTGCCTGCCGTTCGACACAAGAGGTGAGTGAAGACCCGACCGTGCGCGTTTGCCGTTCGGCACGAGAGGTGGGTGAAAACTCGACCATGCGCACCTGCTGTTCGGCACGAAAGGTGAGTGAAGACTCGACCGTGCGCGTCTACCGTTCGGCACGATAGGTGAGTGAAAACTCGACCCGTGCGTGCCTGCCGTATGCTGTGAAAGTTGTTCTCTGTCTCAAAAAGGAGAAGAAAGGGAGAAGGCGAAATGTTCGAAGTGTAGGTGCAAGTGGGGAGGTGAGGGCGGTTGGGCTCCCCTGTGCATGGGTGCCACGTGTCGGCAAGGCTACGAAGACTTGTGACGTTTCGGTTCCCGATGCTAGGCTCGTCCTATAAATTGAAGGAAGAGGCGGTAAGAGGAGGTACTTGAGGTTTTGAGAGCAAACAGAGACTGTGAAAGGCGATTTTCGGCGAGGGCATTGCGGCGTTGTAGGCTATATCTGGAGAGTGTTTGCGAAGGCAGAGCGATTTCCGGCGACTTCCACCACCGTGCAAAACAAGGTATGGTAATGTTTTCCTGCCTCGCATGAATCAAATGCTTGTATATTTGTATGAACACATATGAACACGTAAGAACATAAATGAGCGTAGATGAACAGCAGCTCTTGGGCTCTAGGATAGGGGTTTGATTCGAGCATGTCGTTTAGTTTTGCGTTGCTTTTGTTTGTAGATGTCAGAAACCGAATCAGACTGCAGGGCTTGATAGTGCCGATTTCGAGGAGACCGAGGAAGGAGAAGTGCCGGAGGTGTCCACCGATACGGGGAGCACTTCGAGTGTGGAAGTAGTGGGGGCGGACGACGCCCACCCATCGACATTTGGTCGTCGAATGGAAGAGGCCGAGGCCGATGTGTCGTTTGCCGATCCTAGGGAAGGCGTGCTGACGGTGGTCACCGGCCGACAAAGGATACCGATGGCGAAGCCAAAGGACCTTGTGTTCGGGGTGGACCACCTAGAGCCGAACGTCTTGACCGAGGCGGAGGTGGCGAAGGTTCGGGCCTTGTACAACATTCCGGAATTGGTAAAGATGCGGATCCTAGGGTCGTTGGAATCGCTGACCAATCCGAATAGGGAGGTGGTCTTCTTCACGGATGTCTTCAAGCACGGGCTTAGGTTGCCGCTGAGACATTCGGAGCAGAAGATCCTGGCAGAGATCAGCTACGCCCCTGGGCAGTTTAAACCAAATTTTGGATTACACTCTTGGGGACGGTCACGACCTTCGACATAGTGGGTGAGGGGGAGCCAAGCTATGAGCAATTCGCCCATCAGTACAGTGTGACGAGGGCGAAGACCGCCGATCAAGGGGGGTGGGGTGTAGTCGAACTGTCTGTCGGCGGGGCAAAGGGGGCATTTCGTAGTCGGGGTGCCAACCTCGCAGAAGACCTGGCGTCGGCGTCGGGTGTTGGTGTCCGGAGCTTGGGAATCGGCGACGGGATTGATTGTGAAGAGGCATATCCCCACTGCCTTCCAGACAGTCGGTAGGCCCATGGGGTGCCGTTCGGTAGCAATAGCGCCTTTTTTTTTAACCGGAGCTAACTGGAGGTTGTATTTTTGGGTTTCAGTGTCCTTAAAACGGTCGATCGCTACGAAAAGTGAGATAGAAGTGATCGAGTGCGTTCGGTCAATGATAGCTGAGGAGGGTCGTGTGCACAAGGCTCTGCTAGACTACAAGAACTTGTTCAAAGCGAGTCTGATCAGCAAGCCTGAGTACCTCCGAAGGAAGGAGGTGGAAGAAGAGGAAGAGAGGCAAAGTAAGTAATGTCGTTCGGCCTGTCATTGTTTCGTGTTATTTTGGCGTATGCCGAACCTACGCTAACTCCCCTTTGTTTTGTGCAGTGGGCTCGTGGGAGGGCAATAACTGAAGCGACTATGAGGAGGCTCGAGTCGCGGGCCCCTCAGAAGAAGAAAACCAGTTCCTCGAGGCCGAAGACGAAGCCGCCCCGTCAGGCCGAGGGTGCATCGGCACAGGAGGGCACGCGAGGCGATCAGCGGCGGGAGAGAAGGGTGGCGGAGGCTGAGCTGATCCGAGAGGCCCATCTCCAGGTCACCGGAAAAAGGGTGATCAAGGGTGCTCTCGATGTGACCCCTCTACCGAAGAGGCCAAGTGGGGCCAAACAAGGAAGCAATCGTCCTTCTGTCGGACGAGGAGGATGCCGAAGTGGAGTTGGTGAACATCGCATGCCCCTGGAACATGGTACCGTTCGTGAACTGCTTCATCGACGATGCTCAGATGGAGCTCCCGGAGCTGGAGCAGCTGCCGATGAAGTCGGTGCGCGAACAGGCCGGACTTGCCTTCCGCCTCCAAGTTGCCGTAAGTATGCTTACCTTAGTTTTGTCCAAGGGTTGAGGCGATGGGGAAGTGCTAACGTTTGTGTTGTGTTGCAGGCTAACATGGAGATGTGGCTCGGCATGAAGCGGGCTATCAATGCGGCCGAGCGTGTCCAGAGGAAGTACGACGAGGGCCAAGCCAAAATCGCTGAGGTTGGGAAGCTACCCCAGGATGCGGATTGGCATGCGGAGAACGCTGCCAAGATAACCGTGCTATCCTCCAAGTTGGCGGAAGCCGAAGGGCGACAATGGATGCCAAAGAGGCGAGGGCGAGGGCAGAGTCGGCGAAGGAGGCCGAGCGTCGATTTCGGGCGACGGAGCTGGAGGAGGCCATAGTTGAGTACCGAAACTCGCCGGAGTTCGTGGCATTGCTGGACAATGAGGTGATGGAGCAATGCGAGGATCTCATCGTCCCCGAGGTTCAAGCACATCAATGCTGATAAAAAACTGAACATGAACTTCGTCCGGGATCCGCCGCAGTTGCCCGAGAGGGTAACCGAGGAGATGGTCGAGGCGTACCTCGGAGAGGATGCCGAAGTCGATTCCTCGAGCGGCTCAAAATCGGACGGTGAGGAGGAAGAAACGACTCCCACTGCCGAGCCGTTGAGTGCCCGAGAAGATGAGGGCGAGCCGGCACTGCCCGAGGCCGATCCTCCAACTCCTTGATTCCTGCCCTACTTGTCTCTTTTGTTGTTGTAACATATAAAGTTCGTGTTTGGATATTGAGGCCGTTCAGCCAATTTTGTAAAGACAATTGCCCAGTTTGAGGCGTTAATTATATCCAAGTCTAATCTGAATCAGCTTCGATGTTTGTCCTTGTTGCCGAATATAAGCATGTATGCCTAATTGTGTAAAAATAGGAAAACGATAATGTTGTTTTAAATAAAATTGTACAAAAGTGTAGTGGCCGAAGGTCCAATCACTTGTGATAGAATTTTAAATGTTCGACATTCCAAGGGTGGCCGAGGGTTTGACCGTCGGAGCCACGTAATTGGTAAATGCCGAGTCGGCAAATGTTGACAATTTCATAGGGTCCTTCCCATGAGGGGCCGAGAGTGCCTTCAGTTCGATTTCTCGTTGCTAGAGACACTTACGCAAACCCAATCCCCTATCTTGAACGATCGGTGTTTTACGCTCGAGTCGTAATACCGAGCCGTTCGTTGTTTGTAGGTAGCATTCCGGAGCTGTGCTTGCGATCGGTGTTCGTCAATGAGATCCAAATTGAGGGCGAGCTGCTGTTCATTCTGCTGAGGGTCGTAAGATGCCGAAGCGAGCCTAGAGAGAGCATCGGCGTGGCTGTTATCAGATCCGGAGACTTGGCGGATGTAGTAGGTTTTGAACTGTTTGAGCAATCGGCGGGTCTACGCGAGATAGGCAGCCATTGATTCGTCTTTTGCTGCGAATTCGGTGATTACCTGGTTGACGATGCCCGTTCGGCACCCGAGCTTTGGGCAAGCCGAAGGCCTGCTAGGAGCGCCTCATATTCGGCCTCGTTGTTGGAAGAACGAAATTGGAAGCGGATAATGTCATCCGGAGTCTTGAGGACTAGGCCTGCGCCGCTGCCCATCCGGTGTCATTGTTGTTGATAGCATAATGTCCAGTGAGGGTTGTTTTGATCGAACGTATTGTCGGCCGGAGGTGAATCTACATATGCCGAAGGTGGTGCTGTGACATGGTTGATTGGTTGACCATCGTTGGTTGGAAGTGTGAATTATGAGATGCAATCGACCACGACCTGTCCTTTTTCGAAAGGCCGAGGGTGATACCTGATGTCGAACTCGCCAAGCTCGATGGTCCATTTGATCAGTCGTCCTGATGTCTCTGGCTTCTGCAAGACTTTCCTTAGGGGTTGATTGGTTAATAGTCGATGATGTGAGCCTGAAAGTAGGGCCGAAGTTTGCGTGCAGAGAGGACGAGAACGTAGGCCAACTGTTAAGTTGGGGGTACCGTTGCTCTACGTCCTGTAATGCATGGCTCATATAAAGATGGGGAGCTCAATGCCGTTTAGTCGACGGATGAGCACGGAACTCAAGGCCAATGCCGAGACCGAGAGATAGATAATAAGGTCTTCTCCGAGAAAATGGGTGGATAGCAGAGGGGCTCTGCTCATGTAGGCTTTCAGATCGTCAAACGCTCGGTCGCATTCGGAAGTCCAATCGACCTTCCATTTGCTCCTTTTGAGAGCTTTGAAGAAAGGGGCGCACCGGTCGGTGGCCTTTGATATCAAACGGGCCAAGGCGGCGACTCGACCGGTGAGGCTCTGAACCTTCTTCTTCGTCCTCGGCACCCGCATATCATGAGCGCTCAGATCTTCTTGGGGTTGGCTTCAATCCCACTTTGGCTGATCATGAAGCCCAGGAATTTGCCGAAAGAGACGCCGAAGGCGCACTTGCTCGGGTTCAGGCGCATGTTGTATTTTTTCAGCTTGCCGAACATGAGTGAGAGGTTTCGAAGATGATCGTCGGCGGTCCGACTTTTGACTAGCATATCGTCTACGTAGACTTCCATTGAAGTGCCAATGAGTTCGGCAAAGATTTTGTTGACCAATCGCTGGTATGTAGCTCCAGCATTCGTTAGGCCGAACGGCATGACATTGTAGCAATAAAGCCCTCTGTCGGTAATGAATGCTGTATGCTCACGATCTGTAGGATGCATGAAAATCTGGTTGTAGCCGGAGTAGGCGTCCATGAAGCTGAGGAGCTCATGGCCAGCCGTGACGTCCACCAGTTGGTCAATTCTTGGTAGTGGAAAGCTATCCTTCGGACATGCTTTATTCAAATTGGTGTAATCCTGGCACATTCGCCAAGCGCCTCCAGATTTCTTCAAAAAGACTGAATTGGCGAGCCAAATGGGGTAGGTGACTTCGCAGATGAAGCCGATTGCTTGAAGCTTGTCTACTTCGGTCTTCATGGCCTCGTATCGTTCGGCGTCATAGGATCGTCTCTTCTGTCGGACCGGCTTGAAAGAATGGGAGATGCTGAGCTTGTGGCTGATGACATCCGGGGAGATCCCAGACATATCGTTGTAAGACCAGGCGAAAACTTCCGAATTGGCCCTTAGAAAGGTAATGAAGTCGGTTCGGAGTGACGGACTGAGGGAAGTGCCGATTCGAACCTGCTGATCCTGTGTGTCGGAGATGGAGATCGTTTCGAGCTATTCGGCAGGTTGAGCTTGCAGCGTGACGTTGTCGTCCCGGGGGTCATCGGGACGTTCGATCCCTCCTTTGCCGTTCAGCATGCTTGAGCGGGTAACGGCCAGTGTTTCGGGCGGCCTTTGCCCTGACGTCCGAGTTGCTGATGCCGCCGTGGATGACACGTAGCATACCCGTGCGCTCAATTGGTCCCCCGAACCTAACCGACTCCTGAGTGTGTTGGGAATTTAAGCAGCAGCATATGTGGTGACAACAAGGCTTTCATTCGGGTGTAAGCGGGCACGCCGATGATGGCGTTGTATGCGGTGGGATAGTTGACTACCAGGAAGTGAGTGTAGATGAAAGCCCTTCTGGAGCCAGAGTGATTGGCAAGGGGAAGCTGGATGCTCCTGATTGGCTCGACCACATCACCCGAGAAGCTTAGAAGAGGAGTGATCTCCTTGTTGAGGCTTTGATGGTCGATTCCGAGGCTGCTGAAAGCATCGGCAAAGAGTACGTTGACCGAGCTTTCGGTGTCAATGAGGATTCGGCGTACGTCGAAATCGGCAATGTCTGCTCGAATGATCATGGGATCGGAATGGGGGAAGATGATCCCCTTCTCTTCTTCTTCGAAAAAGGTGATGGGTTCCCATCCGAATCGCCGGATTTTGGTGTTGCGCTCCTCAGTGAGGCTGAGGACCTGAGGGTGCCGAACGGCACATACGTAACTCTTGACGGATCGACGGCTGCAGTCAGCGATCGGTGTACTGCCGCTGATCATGTTGATCTGCTTATTGCCTTGGTGCTCGGGACCCGATTGTGCACTCAGATGCTGGTCTAGTTTGCCCACGCTGATCAGTTTCTCAACGATCCTTCGGAGGGCGATGCAGGACTTGGTATCGTAGCCGTTGTATTGGTGGTATCGGCAGAAGACTCATGTATCCTTGTCGACTTACCGAGGGAGCTTCTGGAGGCTTGGCTTTGGATTCATCTGATTTTCAGCCATGAGGACATTTTCGTAGGTCGAGTTAAGAATGGTGAAGACCTCCGGCGGTCAGTCGCTTTTGGTGCTTCGGAAGTTTCAGCCACCTGACTCTTTATTGCGTTTGCCTCCGTCCTGCCGACCCTGGAACAAGTCCCTTCGCTTATCCCCCGTTGTGCAAGGTGCGGGCATAGTGGGTGCTGTTCGGTAGGGAGCTTGATTAGCGGTCTGGTGCGGCGGGAAACGGTCATAGATGGGTGCCGAAGGCTAATTTGTGCTTGTTGTCTGGCCAGGAGATGCTGAAGGCATTCCTTTAGAGTTGAAGTGTTCGGCCTTGGCGTGAATGGCTGCATGCTTCATGAGTTCGCCATAGGTGGTCCAATTGCTGCTGTGTATTAGGTAGCAAAATTGGGAGGCTCGGAGACCACTTTTGAAGGCGCCGAAGGTTGCTCGGTCGTCGGTTTCTGGGCACCGAGAATACTCATGGCTGAATCTAGATGCGTACTCCCGAATGGGCTCACTGTCTCCTTATCGAACGGTGTAGAGGTCGTCGGCAGAGTATAGACGATCGGTCTGTATCATAAATTGATTGAGGAAAATTTGTTTTACCTGGTCGAAAGAGTCTACCATACCTGGTTCCAGCCGATAAAACCAATTCAGAGATGCCCCGGCCAAGATAGATGGGAACAACAAGCATTGGCCTTCATCGGTGAGTCCCTTGCAACCCAAGGCCGATTGAAATGTGTGAATGTGGGTGACAAGGTCTTCCACTCCCGAGTAGAATGAGATTCGGAGGGCATGTACCTCTTTTTCAGGTCGGTAGAATCGGATTCGACTGGTGAATGGTCCCGATTGTACCTTTCCCCAAGTTGGTGTCCGGATCTGATTCTGCTCTTCCTCGATCCGATTGACTTTTTTAAGGATGAGGCGGATTGTAGGATCGTTATGAGGGAGGGAGGTCCCGAAAGGTTCTACCGTTTAGGGGCCGGTTGGGAGGCGACCCTCGTGTCCTTGTGCCTCGTGGCCTGCCGTCGGACGTTCTTGCCGCCGATGGTTCCTTCTGGTCGATCCGGATGTCGTCGACTGGCGTGAGAGTGTCGTGCCGAGGGAGGTCAGAATGTAGTCGGATTCGTCTATCTCCTCTAGGCCGATCACGTCGTACCTCCGTCGAAGGGGAGATTTTGGTCTGAGTACGTCCAGATGCCGATCGTTGAGTTTTGCTTGGACGGGAATCAGTGATGTCTACCGTTCCCGTCGTCGGTCATTGATTCTGTCACGGTAGTCGGAGTAGACTTTGGTATTCCCGACGGTGCTCTGCCGGAGTTGGCACGAACAGTCTTCGAGAGGCGGACGGTTCGCCTTGAGCTAGTTGCTTTCCAGCCTGTCGATCGTTAGGCCTTGGTACGCTCTTCAGTGATCATTCCTGCCGAAGCTGCTTGGTTTGTTCCAAACCGTCCTGCAGTTGGGCTGAATGTGATTGTTGCTCGTGAAGCTATTTCTGGGTGTCGTCCAGTTTAGAGGAAAGGATATTGTTGTGCTCCTGCATCCTAATCATTTCCCGCTGCAGGGCTTCCATCCTGTCTTCCAGGGTGCTTTGCCGACCAGGCGTCTCCACTCGGGGTGTGCCGGGTGGCACAGCAGAGTTCTCTGGATCGGCGAGGGCAAGGATGGGACTGTCGGCCGCAAGGGGCAAAGGCGGGTTCATGGTTTATAAGTAAAAGGGAGATATGGGCTGATTGTCAATCGGTTTCCCACAGACGGTGCCAATCTGTTGGTGCTAAATCTAAATAGATAAGAGTTTAGGCTAACTTACAAGTGTGCTAATGGATGAGGACCAGGGTGACCTTCTTCCGTGATGTCCGAAGGTTCGAGCGGGGGCTGGATCCGAACTGAGGAGAGGATACTGGTGTGGTACCTGCCGAAGGCACTCTGATGCCAAAGTTAATAACTAAGAGCGATTCTATTGACAGTGGAAGCACTAGTCAAGTCAGAAAGTCTTACCACTTGGCTGGGCCAAGGGGCTCTATTTATAGAGAGCATTTGTGATGCTCTTAGCACTTAGTTTCGATGTGGGACTCGTGGGAGTGTCTTCGGAGATCGACACGTGCTCTGACAGGTTCCGGCAGAAGTTCTGAGGTAATCTGATAGAATTGGATTGACGTGATGGTTGGTTGCTAGGCAGACCATACCGAAGATTAGCGAAGGGACTGATGGTGCATAATCGACCCCTTGAATCGGTACAGCGTGCCGAACGAACATTCGGTATGGCCCGGTTGAGCTGGTCTCGGCTTTGAGGGTGTTCCACATGTCACGACGTGAGTGGGCGGTCAGATATGGTACAAACAACGTGCATTATGAGCTGCAAGTATAACATGCCCTCCGGGTACTTGGCAGCTTTTGATGTATTCAACAAGGATTGGAATCAACTCCGCCATCCTAAACAAGAACTTGTAATCAGGTATTGCCTAATGCCTACATTAGCTTAGTATTTCATCAACTAAATTTACAAGTAATTACCAATACTCATGTTATCCAGCACCTTAAAAGGTTTAGTCATATTCTATACATAATAACTACATGCAATGCCTGACTAGAATAATAATGACAGGAAATTAAAAGGCCTTAAAGGAGCAGCATACCTTGGGACACCTGAATGTGTCACCATGTCGGTTGTTATACCATGGATATGAGAATTTGGAACATGTTGTTCGAGGTCAAACAACTGTTCTTGCCCCCATGAAGATCTTGTCCTTCGCTGAAAAGTCCAGTGGTTTCAAGATCCATACCAAATACTTGTTGTCCAAAATCTTTGTTGGAGCATTAGAGTATTGTATGCTTCTGTAGCATTTTAAAATTGGTTGACTTATGGTTGTTATTGTTGCTCTTCTGCCTAAAGACATTAACCCAAGAGAAGGTGGCTGAAGTTCTAACTTTGGTACTAGCAAGTTAGAAAAGCACATGGAGCATGTCCTCATTTTTCCCCAGAAACTGAAAAGGAGTCGTATGCCATTAACTTGGTCATGGTACCTATAACATAAAGAAAAAGAAAAAAAAGGTCCAGAAATAAAGAATGCATAGCGAAAAGAAGCTAAATACCTGATGGGTTGAAAATGAAACTACCATTTGCAGATACGTAGATTTGCTTGAAGCTGAAAATGGGCACTTTATCTTATAGGAAGTAGGTGTGCAGGGAGTGGAGGGGTGGGAGAGGTTAGTTTTTTCATACAGTTTTTATAAGGAGGAGAGTGTGTGGAATGAGCAGCAATTGCGGAAGGCCTCTAACACTACCACTCACCGAGTTTTGCGCGCTAGCCTTACCGTCTTCAGTTTGGTGCTTCACTATTTTCTCATGGTCTCTCGCGTTTAGGGCCTCTTTGGGTTCCTGCTTGAATCTCTAGCATGGGCCATGGCATCCAACATGTTCTTGGTTGGGTTTGAAATTTGAAGTTGGCCCTTTGCCATTTTCCCTCTTGTGGGCCTTCCCCCATCTTGAGCTTATTTGTAGCTCCATGAGAAACGGGCTTCTTCAGTTGCGGGAAGGTAATAACCGCGGACATGAATAAATGTCTTTAACCACTTGAGTTATAAATCTCTTACAAATGTTTAATGTGGTTAAGTGCCGCCCATAAATCCCCCAAGCAGATTTGGGTTGACCCAGGCCATATAAATAAAAGTAGTCGTAACACTTCTTCTCATACCTTTCAAACTACAACCCACTAGCGATCCTCAAGATGCATGACATGTCTAGAATCATTGTGTGTTGATTTGGGTCGTTGTGACCTATTCGGTCATTTGGGTAGCATGAGGTTGAGTGGGTATTTACAAGTGACTATAGACCAAATCAAGTTTATGGATGATTATGGGTTAGGGCAGAGCTCAAGTAGCTGCATATATCTCCTATGATCACCAAGTGACTCAGATGAGCCCAACGTCCCCCTACTCATATTCTGAATTTTGTGAATTTGTGATGGTCTCTCGTGGAAAGTGGGATTGGAGATCTCGCAGGTGATGCTTATGTTACAGTTACATTACATGTGCATATTCATCCTAGGAAAATAAAAATAAACCACTCCATGTGCACGACACGATGGTGTATTCTTGTTGTTTGCTATTGGGGCCACCCTTACCATTTAGGATGGATTATGATGACTTTCAATCATATCTACAATCATCATGCATGCCATAATTAATGCATTTTTCTATACTCAAATAAATTGATATACAAGAGACATTAACAAGATGAGGGATTCGAACACAGGACATCAAATGTATGGATAATTATTCTTAACCGCTTGAACTACAAAGTCCGTGTTGTAACCCGCAATTGCACCAAAAATGTGAGAAAGCATATGAAGTTTCATCCCAATTGTTGGACTAAAGGAAATACCCAACTTGGCAAAAACGATCTTAATTATAGAAATGGCCTGCTGGTGACAACACCCCATTTAAACAGGAGTTGGTACCCCAGGCATTAATTAATTCCTATAACTTGTAGAGTGGCCAAGTACCTTTTTGTTATGTTTTTTCTGCTGTTTTAGACATTGTCATATGAGAAATTAATTCCCTGCAAGCAATCGCAGATATATAATGGACCTGCCACATGAGAGAACAGCGTACGTTATTCCCATCATTCATACCTAAAAAAATAACACCCCCCAACCCAAGTTGCCAGCTTGGAGAAAATTATATGCTTCCTCTTTTATTTTATTTTCCTTTTTCTCCCTACCTCGAGTTTATATATGATGAATGTTCTCTTTCTATATATGTTTATTTATAAAAAGGAGTATTAAAATTATTTCAATTTCTGACTTCTCATGCGTTTACTAGTTTATAAAAAAATCAAATACTTTCAAAACTAGGAATTAGATATTTGATCTAATTCTAGTTATTCCTTAGTTCATTTTTTCTTAAATTCTCTTATTCATGACTACTTTTCTGTTTCTAATAAATAAACATGTCCTATGTAATATTCAACATAATCAATGATTCAGATAACGTCATTGTAAATGCAATGGTAGTGGCAAAGTTTTTAACTTTGTAATCTGATTTTCATTCTTGGCCCGGGGTGTGGCTGTATCTTCTAGTGAATCAAACCTTACAAACAGTCAACTCGGGATTGGATTGGATGAATGGATGGACCTACTACTTGTTTGCTTGCTTGCGAGGCTGGCAAAGGTGGTGGGGAGCTACTACTCGGAACATTTCTGTGCTAAGCTTGAGAGAGAGAGAGAGAGAGAGAGAGAGAGGGAGGATTGAGTTTTGTGTATCCACATGCACGTCCAAAATTTGATATCATAAGGCTTTCTTCTTTCCCCTTTGGCCGTTGATTGCTTGCTTGCTTGACAGGTAGTCTCCAACCTTTCACTTCAATAATTCTTCTGATTCCCAATATTTTTTTGGATCCATCTCTGAACCATTGAACAAGAGGTTGGGTGTCGGGAAGCAGAGCCTACAGTACTGCAACGTGTTGGTCTATCCTTCGTTGTATAATTGCAATTCCTAATGTTACCAAAAATGGCTTCAAAATAGATGGGACAGCAACCCACCTGTGACCTTTTTCTTATCACCACCCTAATTCCATTTTGGAATTCAGTGTTGCAAATTGTTTATTATTAGTTAGGCTTGGGAGTATTTTTCCGGTAATATCGAGTTTGATTGGAATATTTATTGGGTTGAGAATTGACGGTTAGCCCGTTATATTATAATCGTTCTAGTATTGGTGCACCTTAAAAAATGTATCTTATACTATATAGTATGGACTAATTATGTGTGAGCCCAATTTAGGTACATCTTTGAAGGCTTGGGATTTACCTAAAACCCTACATGTGTATTACTATATATACAACTAGTGAGTTCATTGCAAATGCTTCAACCGGTTAGATTTATTAAGATAGCAAGATAGCGCAAGAAGTTTGTAGTTTAGTATTAAGAGCAGTTACTCATCCACTTAAAATTCGTGTTTGCATAATGTCTGTGTTCGAATCAAACATAATCAGGTATGCTTTCGTACCATCCATATATATATATATATATATATATACATATACACTGGCGGACCCATGACTTTTTTAGTGGAGGTGCAATTTTGAAAGGTTAAAAACTCTTTGTGGATTGAACATCTAAGACTTTTTACTTAAATTGACTTTAGGTCCCTTCATGCATTCATATCATACATGAAAAGTTGTTCTATGTAAAAATATTGACTAAGTATGAAAAATGGTTTTTCGGAATAATCATTTTCTCAAGATAATTTTTGGCGGCTTTTATTCCTTACACATCAAATAAGAAAACTTGATTTTATGGGATTTTATTATGAAGTATATATTGACTTAATGAGCTATCATTTTTAGCCTAAATCGTATTTTGCACTAAAACCGATTTTTTAAATTTTGATTTGGGGGGAATTTGATTTTCTAGTATTTTTCTTTGAATACAAATGGGAGGTACTTCCTTATTTACATTGTAAACTTAAGTAAATGGAGTAATATAAAAATAAATGAAAGTGAAAGTAATAAGGAGCAAATGAACAATTTCAAGCACCAATAATAATTTTTTTGGCGAGGGGAGGTGCAGCTGCACCTCTTTGCTCCTTAACAGGTCCGCCGGTGTATATATATATATATATATATATTGTTTTACATGTCTATGTGATGGCCATGATTATCTTCTATAAATTGGTTACACATCCAAAAGTTATGAAACAACCGTAGACAAAGTTTGAGAAATATATGCTCAACATAGAGTATAGAATCTCCCTCTCAAATACACAAAACAATAAAAGTCCTCCAAGTTTTCAACCTACTCAAATCAAATGCATCCAACCTTCTTTTCCATCACCAAAAAAACAAACAAAACCCTAAACTCTATTTTCTATATTTTGTGTCCTAGCTAGTGACAAGCCGATAGGGACGTGTATGAGAGGCGCACGTACGTTCCAAGTGGGCCCCATACTCTTTTCATCACTGATGAGGTGTGCGGTGGGGCCCAGCCCAATGCCTTCCCTTCCCGCGTTGGCCCAGTTCTCCCGTTAACGCCTTGGCCTTTCCTTTTTGTACAGTCCAGGAGCGGGTCCCGCCAGTTGCACTACGGACATCACCACGTGTCCGTCCGATTTCCCGGGTCGAAACGAACGTCGTCCAACACGTCTCGTCTGCGTTTGCCTTCGTCGCTGCTGACGTGGACCAGCCCAGAGTGGGGCCAGTGGGCCCCGCGTCGAGTCATCTCAGTACTTGTCTAGTCTTCTGGGGGGGTCTTTTGAACTCGTTGTCCGTTCATCATTGGTGTTGCTAGCATAGCTAGCTGGATCTTTGCTGTAAACTTGGGATCAAAATCTTGCAATTTCAACACTAAAACAAAGACAAAGCAAACCCTCAAGAAATATTTATAAATCTTTTGCCAACATCAAACGGTAGGCTGGAGGAATTCTTGCATGTTCAACATAAGAGGCCAACTGACTTCCATGTGTTTAAAATGACAGTAAAATTGATAGCATTGATTGGCAGAACAATTTAGTTAAAAGATAATATGTACTTTTTACGAGTTGATAATTAATTGAACGACACTGCTTTTAGCATTACCACGTGAAAAAGAGCAACCCCCAAAATTATTTGATTTGCCAACTTAAAAGTGGTAAACACAACCAAAATGGTTTCAATGATGTTGGGAAAGGCATGCTCACAGGTGATTTTTTTGATAGTGATTACAAGCAAGCAAGTGATGTTAATGTAGCAACAAGAGAACATGTGAGAGGGAATGGGTAAGCAAGGACACAAGCCTTTTTAGTCAAAGAAAATGACAATGATTGTTAACAACTCAAAGGAATATACAACAATGACACCCCAAACTTACAAGGCAAAAGAGAAAACTCTCCCAAAAACAAAAAATTACCACTTTCCCATTCGTTTTTCACATCCAAAAGGGAAAGCAATCAAGTTGGAAAATTTTGTCAAGATCACAAGTAAAAAAAAATCTCGCAAGGCGCATGCTAAGGGTAAAAAGAGTGAGGCCATTATCATTCATGTTGTGTTGGGTGTGTTGCTTGGGACTTGGGATATGGCACTCATGATTTAAGTGGGCAATTTGGCAAAGGAGATAGGGAAAGTTAGTAAAAGTAGCTTTGGACTTTTTCTCCAAGTTCCATGAGATGCCACATGGCAGAGCAGCAACAGCAGCTCCAATCACCTGAAACCCACTAAGAGGGGAAAAATTTAATTGAAATGGGGATAATACTATTTTGTCATATTCGTTCAATAATGCTATAATACGTGAAAGTGTTATCACATGTGTAATAATATTATTGACCGAAGATAGCAGGGAAGTCGTTCTCCACCGAGGGAGAAGCCATTTGCATGGCATAGTTTAATAGGCGAGCGTGAAATAATCTAAAGGTTTGGGGGGTTACACATAATATTCCATATTTTGCCTTAAAAGCATCTCTCTAAAACTAAACCCATGAAAAGCTAGAACCAGAAACAATAAACAATTATTATTAAATCATTAAGTTTGAGGATTTAAATCTGTGGGAAAGCCCAAGCTTGCCAAGTTGCCAGAGCTTTAGCCTAAAAGCAACCACTCGCAGTTTCCACAGCTTTCATTGGCTGGTTTTTTCTTGGGGTTTGAGACTTGTTGAGAGCGAGAGTGGGGTTTCTTTTCTTTTTGCTCACAAATTAACACAGTTTTTTATTAAATATATTTTCTGAGGGTGAAATTGAAAAGCAAGCAAAGACTTGTAGTTGGGGAGTTGGGGTGTGTTCATCCTTCATCGTAATAGAGAAAAGGCTACTAGAGAATATACGGTTTCAGTATGCTATGGCCACTTTAGCAAGGCTTGTCACAGCTTTTCTTGCATTAGGACTGGGAAAAGCAACCCTAATTTTTTATTTATATTATGTTTTCTTTTGAATAAAAATCCGTTGCGTTGCGTTGCGTGAGCTTGCTAATTAGTTCATGAATTAGGGAATAAAACTGCTATTTGAGAGGAGAAAGACAGGCACGAGGTTCGTTTCATAGTACGTATAGTTTGCAAGTGATTGCATGTATATAAATATCTGACATGTTATGCTATTAGAATAATATCGTAAAAACAACAAGAAGTAACTAATAGACCAAAATTATAGGTTAATTGTATCGAATCATAAGAGACGATAGCTCATATTCCATATGCAAAGCTACATGGATTTTTTTATTTTTGACACAACACAGACAGACAGCACCAAAACTAAAAAAGCAAGCATGAATGCAGTGCAGTGAAGTGCAGGGGGATGATGAGTCATGACTAGGAAATGAGAGAGCAAACAATACAGGCCAAGGAAGCCTTATCCTATTTAGAGGCGCCAAATTACACGTGTCGAACGGGGGAAGTGGGTAGAGAAGGCAGGGTGGTAAAAGTAACTGGCATGAAAAGTAAAAGCTGGTCAGACGGCACACCCAGCAGAACGCAGGTAAAGACCCAACTGACTGTGCTTTAAAAGAATACTCATTCAACGGGGTTCCTTCCTTCCTTCCTTCCTTCCACAAAACCCTTTTCCGTTCCGTTTTTGTAAATATAAAAATATCAAGTGGCTAACTATTGAGGACTTGAAAGTGGAAAACCAAAAGCACCCCCACAATACATGGAAGTGGTGGTTTGCTTTGGTAAACAACGTTGATCCAAAAAATAAACCAAACATTATCCTCAACTATTTTCATTGAATAAAAATAAAAAGTGCTTCTGTTTTTGTACTCATATATAGATTTAAGGTTGTTGTGTTTCTGGTTTTTTTTTCCTTTTTCTTTTTGCCCTTTTTGTTTCCTTTTTCTAGTGCTAGACTATGAGTGACCCAATTCAGTCTTTTTCAACAAAAATCAAACACAAAATGAATCCCAACACATTCATTGTGTAATGAGGCCACGTTAGTTCGCTCGAGTCTGTAACATTTGACAATCTTAATGAAAATTTACTACTTCCTCTCTTTAAAAAAATCATTCATTTTGTGGGTATTATGCAATTTACTGTATATAAAAAATACACTGAATGTGTATCACATGGGCAGCTTAGGTAAATTAGTAAATTAAAAAAACAATTAATTTTGTGTAATTTTCAGTTATGATGTATAATTTTGAAAATTTAAAATTTTAAAAGAGTTTGATGCTGAATTATTGGAGAGGTGAAAGTATAAGCACTCAATTTGTGTTGCTGTAAGAGGAAACAGATAAAGAGTCCAAAAAAGAGCAAACAGATAAAAAGGAAGGTTTTGATTTTGAAGAAATTGTAAATAGTAAAGGTGTAAAAACCAAATACAAAGTAACAAAGTAAACAGTAATTATGAGTAAATTTGGGAAGGAGGATCATGTTAGCTAATCAAGTTTATTTTATATGTGAGCTGGATCCACTCTTCCAGGAGTGACCCACCATTGAATAAAATATTCCAAATTATTAAAAATTAATAAATCATAAAATAAAACCAAAACACAGACAATTTGAGCTTGAAGCAGAAAGAGAGAAAGGAGAGAGAGAGAGAGAGACAAGTCCAGCTCTTTCAACTTCAATCTGAAGAATAAATATATAATTATACCACAATAAAAATTTTATCACCAGATAAATCAAAATCTCTCTCCTTTTCGTTGCTTTAGTTTCAACTGGTTCTTTGAATTTTGAATTGGGTGTGAATCAAAACCGAAGCTTAAGCATGTAATTCGGGTATCTGGTTGTTCTTTTAGCTGTATCTCCCCTGTTCTTTCGGCTCCGAGATTTGGGTTTTTTAAGCCATGAATCTGAGTAACGGTATGGGATCGATGTCAACGGCTAGTTCAAGTGGCGCTTGGAAATCGGCTGATGTGGTCTCTGACCAGTTTCCTGCGGGTTTAAGAGTCCTGGTGGTTGACGATGATCCCACTTGCCTTATGATTTTGGAGAAGATGCTTAGAACATGTCTCTATGAAGGTACCCCTTTATTAGAGTTGCTTGAATTGTAATTCTCTCTCTCTTTTGGGTTTTGCTTCATGAGTTTTCTTCAATACTTTGGGTGATTTCAATTTCCTGTTTCAAAGTATGACCTTGTTTTCCTTTTGGGTTGATTTAGTGCAAGTGTTTACCACTTGGGTTATCGTTTCTTGTGTTTCTCAAGCTGATATTTAGGGGATTGGGAACCTGCTGTAGAAAAGGGAACAAATATTAAGATTTGTCTATAGTTTGACATTTTGTACACTTTCAGTTATAATTGTGTTTAGATTCAAATAATGGGTTGTCTTAAAGTTTGTGACTTGTTCTTCATGGTTTCTACAGCATTAATTTTTCATCTTTTTTCTTCTGTTATTTTTTTTAAAGAGTTAATCTTATTGTTCCAAGGATAAGCTTGAGTTTTGATTTGCGCTTTTATAGATTCATAGCTCTGTTTATTTATGTTGTTTTATCATTTCTGTTATCAATTTTTTGAGAGATTGATTCGGTTTGTTTGGGATTTTCTAGTTACGAAATGCAATCGAGCGGAGATCGCACTTAATCTGCTTCGAGAGAACAAAAATGGATATGATATAGTTATTAGTGATGTACACATGCCAGACATGGATGGATTCAAACTCCTGGAGCGCGTTGGACTTGAGATGGACCTGCCTGTTATCAGTGAGTTATCCGTTTGAGTAATTCGTGTGGATTTTAACTGCTGTTAACCCAGATAGTATATGTATTAATTTGGAGCTGATATGTGATTTCACAGTGATGTCTGCTGATGATGGAAAAAGTGTTGTTATGAAGGGGGTCACTCATGGTGCTTGTGACTACCTAATCAAACCGGTTCGTATAGAGGCACTGAAGAACATATGGCAGCATGTAGTTCGTAAGAAAAAGAATGAGTGGAAGGAAGTGGAGCAATCAGGAAGTGTGGAAGAAGGAGATCGGCAGCCAAAACCATCTGAAGATGCAGATTACTCGTCCTCAGCAAATGAAGGGACTTGGAAGAACTCAAAGAGGAGGAAGGATGAGGAAGAAGAGGCCGACGAGAGGGATGATTCATCCACATTAAAGAAGCCACGGGTTGTTTGGTCAGTTGAACTCCATCAACAGTTTGTGGGTGCTGTTAATCAACTAGGCATCGATAGTATGTTTTCTTCCCAATCTTTTTCAATTTCATGTTTCCTACTGGACTGAATATGGATGCTGGGAGCAAATAAGTGTTCTTGGTCCTTTTGAGTTTTGCGCCTAGTTTTTCAACTAGGAGCTGAATCAGTTTGAACCTATATAAACATTCTTCACACTGACAGAAATAGACATGCTGGCCATATCAAATATCATTGTCATGTCTGTCTAGTTTATTCATTGACAAACGACTCATAATTAATACACCTTTTACATCCAAATTGTTCCATAAATCAAAGTCTATGTTGTGTTTAGCATTTTAGTGCGAGTCAGCATTGAATTAATCTCTTTGCCTTTTGGATAAAATTGAACCATGCAACATTATGTGTCTATTTCCTATTGCAAATGTATTCCTTATGTTAATCAAACTTGATAATTTGATACAGAGGCTGTTCCTAAGAAAATTCTGGAGTTGATGAATGTTCCTGGGCTCACTAGAGAAAATGTTGCTAGCCATCTTCAGGTATGTATAATTTTGTATAATATAATAAAAAATTATGAAGAGGAAGTCTGTTATGATATGAACTCAAGAAAGGCTCTTTGGTTTTTTTTCCCCTCTTTTGGTATGCATTTCGAGAAAAACTCACTGTGCGAAGTTGTGGAACAGAAATATAGGTTGTACCTTAGAAGGTTGAGTGGAGTGTCACAGCACCCGAGTAATTTGAATAACTCTTTCCTGAGTCCCCAAGAAGCATCTTTTGGAGCTATGTCGTCACTCAATGGGCTTGATCTTCAGACGCTAGCCGTCACAGGTCAACTTCCTGCTCAAAGTCTTGCCACACTCCAAGCCGGACTTGGTAGGTCAACAGCAAAATCTGGCATGCCTATGCCCCTTGTTGATCAAAGGAACTTATTCAGCTTTGAAAATCCAAAGTTGAGGTTTGCAGAGGGGCAACAACGTCTGAGCAGTAGCAAGCCAATGAACTTACTTCATGGAATTCCAACAAATATGGAGGCCAAGCAGCTTGCCAACTTGCACCAGTCTGCACAATCTCTTGGGGGTGTGAATATGCAAGTCAATGCCCATGGAGTCCAGAACAGCGCTCTACTTATGCAGATGTCTCAACCACAGTCAAGAGGGCAGATCCTGAATGAAACTTCTGGAAATCATGTTCCTAGGCTTTCATCATCAATGGGGCAGCCTATCCTATCAAATGGAATTCCTAGTGGAGTTTTAGGAAGAAATGGGATTGCTGATAATGGCAGAGGGGCAGGATATAATCCAGTCCAGCAGAACTCCTCAATGTTGAACTTTCCCCTGAACAACAGTTCAGAACTGCCAGGAAACAATTTTACTCTTGGAAGTACACCAGGAATGTCCAGCCTTACGTCTAAAGGAGCATTTCCAGAAGACGTGAACTGTGAAATAAAAAGATCTTCCGGATTTGCGCCAAGTTATGATATTTTTAATGAGTTACATCAGCACAAATCTAATGACTGGGACTTACAGAATGTAGGCTTGACCTTTGATGCCTCTCAACATACAAACACCATGCATGGTAGCCTTGACTCCTCAGTTTTAGTTCATCAGGGATTTTCTTCTAGCCAAAGGAGCGCACAGAGCAGGAATCCATCTACTGTTGGAAAGGCTATGTTCTCAATTGGAGAAGGCACTCATCATGTGAATGTTCAAAATAATGGTCAACACCTTAACAGTCTTATTGTTGACAATACAGTTAGGGTTAAAGCTGAAAGGGTTCCTGATGCAAGTTCTCAAACTAGCTACTTTCATGAACAATTTGGTCAGGAGGATCTAATGAGTGCACTTCTCAAACAGGTCAATTTTTCTGCCTCTATTTTTTTTACCTTCTGTGTTTAGATTTTTGGATATGAATTTCGAACTGTTAAGGTTATTATTTACTCATGTGAAAGTTCTTCTGTTTTCCAGCAGCAAGAGGGAATTGGAGCCACCGAAAATGAGTTTGACTTTGACGGGTATTCCTTGGATAATATTCCTGTGTAGAATGTGCTCCCTACAATATTCTGTATGCTTGCAGCTCTGGTGTATATAATTGCTGCAATAGGAGTCATTTCTTTTGCAATCAAATGGTGGATATTCAAGTTTGTTTCTACTTCAAGAAACCAGCAGATTAAATGTCAGGATGATGGGTAATTGAGGCGGATCAAACAGGTCAAAAAGATATTTGTGATGCAAGATACTGCTGCATGAAATGCAAAGGCATACATGCAAAATTTTGAGTGGCTAGAAAGAAGCAACAATTTCTGGGGTGCTGGTGAAACTGTACTCGGTTTTCGGCGCATCTTGAGTATTCTAGAGTAGGTTTTGATACGCCTGCAGGCATTGTAGGAGCCTTTCTAACTCTAATAACACATGAAGTTTGCCCTGTTAGTTATTTTCTTTTGCCTCCTCTTCCATTTCTCTCTCGTTCAAGGAATCAGACTTTGATGTACATAAATTCCATTTGGTTACGCAAGACATAAGTCGGGAGGTATTCTTTTCTGGTTTGTTTTCTTGTACTTAAATTTCTAGGGATTCTCATTCATGCTTTAGCTTTGGTGTTAACCACCTTCTTATGTGACCTCTATTCTTAATAGTCTCTCCTATCATGAGATTTGTTTCAACAATTACATGGAATTTCGCCTAATTTATGACAAGCAATTTCGCTATGAAGTCTTGGAATCTGAATTACATTTTTACCCTTTTAAAAAAGGCAATATTTACACTGTTGCAGAACAAATCAGTAAATATACTAGAGATGTCTCACTATTTTTAGGCACGCTAGTGACAAAAGATATGGCTGCGGAGAGAGTAACTGGCAAATGGGAATAATGCAACCAACATGAACTGGTCGGATAACCTTTTCCGGAAAAGAAAAAAAAAGAATTGGTCGGATAAGATGTGGTCCACACATTAGCTGAGCATGAGCTTTAGAATCATTCCAACAGCCAGAAAAAGAAACAAAAGAAGAAAAAAAGGAACAGCCTGAAGAATAGAATAATTTGAGTTGAACAAGTCTAAAAGTTGATTAGGTATTTGCATTAAACAAGTTAAAGTACATAATTATTTAGACGCACAGACCTGTTCTTCCTGCGAAGATTTTTTCCTATTGGCTTCCTGTATCCGCAAGCAAGCAATGATTTTCAAAACAAGCAAAGAGAACACAAACACTCAGAGCAGGAAATTTGTATAGGCGCACAAAGTAATTGTCCTAAATTCCGGTGACTCCAAAAAGATATATTGGATAATCGTTCCCACATGTATACATATAACAAAAGAATCAAAGCAAGCACCTAGTTCAGTAATTGTTTATACAAAATATGAGAACAATAGCTACATATGATTTGCTGTCACTTGCTGTGTTTATCCTCCTTTCAGCATGTGCAGATGAAGGGCAAGAGATTACCAGCGACAACCAAATTTCCCCTAACAACCTCATAAGTACCAGTCATGGCATGCACGTCTTCTAGTTGTTAAGATTTTGCAAAACCTCCTGGTTGAGCATATATCAATCAAACCACTGAAAGAATAAAAAAAATCAGCAGCAGCTACAAGATCTGGCAGTGCCTCATCCCTCAGCTATTGCTACATCACCATGAACGCTACAACCATTAGGAGGACTGAAAACATTATCGGTGTACTCTTTCTGTTACCACTACTTGGATATATTTTAGGAAGTGAGCATTCCTCCCCATTAAAGTATACTTTTGTCGGAAACCCATCTCCACCAATCACATTAATTCCAGGAGTCTTCTTCTTTGTAAATGAGATGACTGATTGCTGCTTCCCAGGCACCCTAGGATCCTTCTGCGGGTTGGCTGCATCTGTTTCTGCCACAAGGTAGTTCAATCCTTCAAGACCCTGCATGAATACAGTATTGTTGACACCATTCAATTCCAAGGTACTTCCATTGAAAGAGTACATCTTTTCGAAACCAGGGCCTGCTTTATCCATTTGCACGGCAGCAAACCAATCAACAAAAGAAGTTTCATCCCAATTGAAGAGTGTGACCCTTGCACTCCATCCACGAGAGTAGTCTGTATATAAATGCCAATTAATGCTGACCCCACAGTTATCACTACAGGGTATCGGGTTTGGAACTGGTAGATGTTTAAGTTCAGCCCAAGCTTTTGCCTTGACAGTTCGGTTCTCAAAGGGAACAAGAAGTGTCTCCGGCGGAAGAAGCATAGCTGGTGCAGTTGTACTACAAGTTCGAGCTGTATTACTAGGGCAGCCACATGCACAAGTGTTGCATGGGATGACCGAATCATTATAGAAAGCAGAAAACGAAACACAGCATCTAGGGCTTGCTCCCTTGAGCTGTGTAATATTGCACACAACCTGCCAGCTAGCTACCGCAGATGAATTCACTGGCAAGCCACTTCGATCAGGAAATTGACTAGGACTCACCCGCACAGGAGGGCCACATTCATAATCAGGGTTGAGCGTGCCGTTGATTGCCCAGTTTTGTGGCGGTGTGAACTGGGACCGGTTAAGATCTGGAGGCATTTTAAAGACTTGAATCTGGAATGATGACATTGATTTCCTTGGATCCATTGATCGTGGCAAGATAGTACCATTTCGGCAACAATTAGGGACCAGACCAAGTAGAGTGTCATTGGCCTTTGTTGGAGGCAGGTCAATTATGGTTGGCCGTTTTTCACAATTCAATACGGTGGAGAAGTCCAGATCCTTGTAGTATGTACTTTGTCTGCCGAATATACAGTCAGAAGAATCTACAATAGATGGATACGCCCCTTTCATTGCAAATATAAATTCATCTGCCATCCAGTCCCAGCTCAATTTCCAATTATCAAGACGGCCTAGGGGGTTATGGTTGGCAATTGTAACTTGTGCCCAGTAATTTGAGTCTTGAGTATTGGTCACATCATACATAATTGTAAGATCTCCATTTTGGCGGGGGAGGAACTTTCCATCTACAGTGATGTTTGTTTTAAACTTAGTGTCTACGGTGCAACAGACATGCATTTCATTCGTCCCTGGAAAGAACATTATCAGAGAAGCGTAAGAGTATGCTCATTAACATGGATAGTAAAAGTGAAAAGTGAAAACCCAACTTAGTGTCAAATGTATGTTATCACGGTGACATCTGATTGTTACTAACAAATTGGTCTATAGAGAAAAGGACGCCCTGAAAATGAGAGTCTAATAATATGAAGGAAACATAGAAAGCAATGATCTGATTATAACCAAAAGCTAAACAAAAACTAGACCCAAATTTTTTTCTGTAGACCAAGACTAACAAATTTTCCTTGCAGATATAGAAGGCCACTGTCTTCCAAAAACGAAAAACTAATGGGGAAGACATCTTGATTTGTGGTTCTAGACATTCACCATTGTAGTTATGAATCTAGGAGTAACAAATTTTCCTAGTGACTTAAAGTAAGTCAATATACCAATGAGACTGATACGGTCCAACGCAAATTGGAAGAAAATGTACAAATAATCTCTAAACAAATTCCAAATATTTGAGGACAGATATAACCGTAATTTCCCTTCATCTCCACACCAACATACACCAGGTATTCTCTCATCAAATTCAATTTAATACAGTTATATATAATGAACATTCAAAACAAATGATTGAACCTGAAAATATATAAGCTATCAGAAGAACTGCTAGCAGCTAAACATAAAAAAAGGGTAACGGATAAAAATGAAATCTGTATACTCCAAATTAAATTTCATCAAATAATAACATCCAAAAATGTACCAGAAAAACACAAATCCACAAATACCCAAAACAGAGACGACCAAAAGGAATGCTAAGAACTGACCTTGCACGGCGTTGAGGCAAACAAACCCATCATTGGCCAAAGAGATATTCGAGGGCAGAGGAACCTTGGGTGGGGCCACACCGAATTGGGTCCCGACCAATTTGACCTGAACCTCCATCTGGGTCAAGTCTCCCGCAGTCTTAATCGCAGTTTTCAGATCGGTCATCGGAAACCCAGCCAAAACGGTGCCGTTTCCCACACTTCCAGGCATGCTAGTCCCGTCTGCCAAAACGGCATTGGAGGCAGAGACCAAGTACTCATCGTTCTTAAACCCCACGAAGACCCTCCAAGATTTCAGATCCTCGAGCCCGTTGTTGAGCACAGTGAGCACGGACTCGAACCGGTAGGGCTGGCGCTTGGGGTTAGATTTGAGCTCGGGCGGGAGCTTGGCTCCGGTAGTGTAGGCGTACGATAAGAAAACGCCGTTGCACGAATCGGAGGCTGGTGCTGGAGCATCCGCGGTTGGCTGAGAGAATGAAGAAGGCAAGGCAGTGAAAATAAGCAGAAAGCTGAGGGTGAAGATCAGAGGGCAGCTCATGGAGCTGAAGTCCATGGCGTTCGGGTTAGTGGGTTTTCAAAAGTTCGGATTTTGAATTTGCAGGAAGGGAGAGAGTTTATATATGCGCGACTATTTATCGCGTTGGCTGTGTGTGTGTGTGTTATTTTCGAAACGCGTTGAGAGTATAAACAGCTTAATGGAAGCTGTATTTTGTGAAGAAATGTGTTTTTCTTTTTTTTAATGATTTATTTTGTTTTATTTTAGTTTATTTTGTTTGATATTGTTGCCGTCTTTGAGTGATTCAAAGAAGGTTCGTGGATTTGGTAAATCCTCGAAAGCAATTGGCAAGAAATGCGTTTTTAAGACATAGTGGTAGTGCGGTTTGAGTTTGGAGTGTGAAAAGAGCCTTTTGTCTTTGTCTCAACGGAACCCTTCCCCTCCCTCTCTTGATATTTGATTTTGAATTCATGTTTGGACATGGGTCAGAGAGGCGATTTCTTTAAGACTCTTAACTTGTCTTATCAAATTTATATTTCAGACACATACATACTTATGTCATTAAACAGATCGGAATTCAGATAGTGGAGAAGATTTGTTTGGACGGTAAAATTCTCTTATCATATTTTATAATTTACCCTACATCCAGATTATACGCTCGTGTAAAAATCAGCATGATGAATGGTTCAAATTTGAAGTGTGTCAATACAAATATTTCGTGTGTTGCGGGTCCAGATAACACCTTTGGACAAATGTGGTTTCAATGAGACACCAATCAAGTCAAGCCCTCATGTCTAGCAAAAGACTAAGGAAAGAAGCGCACATGAAGTTAGGCCTTATGTTGCGGCACGTCGTGTTGTTTAATGTTTATAGCCAGGTACCAAAACGTCTCTCTCTCTCTCTCTCTCTCTCTTACATTTTGGGCCTATTAGTATTATGCTCGCTCATGGACTTGTCTTTTGAAGCTGGCCTAGTTTGAACATGCTGAGAGCACCATTGTAGGCTTGTAGCAGAGTTCCTGGCCCAATTTGAGAAGGCCTCTACACTGGACATCACAGCCCATTAGCATGCAACGCAGGTTGTAATTTATGAAAAACAGAGATTATCTATTCCATTATTGGGAGTCTGGGGTTAGTATTTGGTGTGCTTAAGTTAGGATCCTCCTAATGTGCATTCAGATTAGCTCCTTCTCCACTCTAATGTGCACGATCTTTCTAATGTCTTACTAATTATTTATGGTGGAGAACAAAACAAGGTCATGTTTTTATGTGGTTTATATATGAAGGTTTTTTAGGTTTTAGACATAAAAAACCCTATATATAAAATCATGCGTGCGTGATAGGGTTTTCGAAGATGAACAGAAATTGATAGACACTGACAGAGAGTGAGATATTACATCAGATGCGACTTCTTATTAGCATTAAATAGTATGACAGACAACCAGAGGACACATAAATAGAGAGAGAGAGAGAGAGAGTTATTTGGTACTTAAAAGATTTAAGAGACCGAACAAATCAACCTTAGTGCCATTCAATAACTGAAAATAGACCTCAAATTTAAGGGACCATCATTCACATACACGTGAATAAGTGGTCAATTACTCACGTGTACGTGAATCATACACGACAAATACTAACAGAACCCTTGTTGGAAAAGGAGAAATATATATATATATATATATATATATATATGCACATGGCATATGATATGAGTTGAGAATAAAGCGCATTGAAATTCTGCACACAGAAATCATAAGGGGACGAGAATATAAAGCCAAGTGACAATATGCCTACCACACAACAACCTTGTCCGGAATGTATATGGTATAATGCATTGCATGATCGGGGTCCCAATTAATTTTTGTTTGGAAGGAATGATACCTTAGCTACTAATTAGCCAATTAATGTCACGGTCGACGATTGGGCCAAATTTGCTTACTGTCGTTTTGTTGCAAAAGTGGATGATTCGGACTCTAACCGGTCACATCTTATTGTATTCTTTCTTTTTGGATCAGAATAATTAAGTTTTCATGCATATATATTCTCTCTAATTTCATAATCTCGACTCGACGTGCAATAATATATTTATTTAAAGAAGAAAAGGTTACATATGCATGATGATGAACAACCTAAGTTTAGTAAAAATGTTATTTCCGATACATGAGAATTTATCTCAATATCATGAATCATGATTCATACTATGACAGATGAACGATGTAGAAACTAACTTTTTGGACACCTAATTAGAAAAAAGAAGAAGCAAAAGATGATCATAAAAGTCTTAGATTCTTTCAGCTTTTGGTCACCATTATTTCCCTCTTCTAATTTGAAGTTAATTATGCGCATCATCATCATCATTTCACCTTTTCATTAGCAAAGTACTGAATCGGCGGATTCTTTGAAACCTCTGTAAAATAAAATCTTAACTAATATTCCACAGCATGTCAATTATTAATCACAAAATAAATAATTTTTTTTTTTAAATCAATTGTAATTTGTTAAAGGAGAATGCAATTATCAATTGTATTGTCGCCACTTAAAACAGCCTGGAAAGTCCCATGTGGATTGTGATCGTGCTGATAATAAATAAATCCAAACACATTTTACACGATACAAATTCATTTGATGAGTTAGTTAAAAACATACAACCTATAATTCATTGAGAATGATTTAGTAGTAATTTTGCAAAATTGTACTTAAACTGACTGTTACGATTCAGAATCAACATATTATAACATGAGTGAATTAGTAACGCGACGAATTGATGTTATCGTTGCACTAAAAAATTACTCCATTTTTATTGAACTTGTCTAAGGAGTTGGTTGTTGGCCGGTTGGCACATATTATTATATAATCTATATCAGAAGAATCTGTTGGGGTTGATATGTTCTTTTTTTTTGTGCCATTGATAGTTAGCGGCATGAAAAATTTGACGCGCCGCTACAGTGACCGCCCAATGGCTATCTTCCACGTGTCTTCTGCTGGGCCATCCAATCAGCTTTTTAAACATATCCAACGGCAGACATTTTTTCACGAATAAAAAAATCGAAAAAGCAATCCCCAACGGCTCTATGCCACGTGGAAGCTCCTGGGCTCTCAGATCATTTTTTTCCAGCAATCCAACGGCAGGCAATTATTTGCCCAATAAAAAAATGAAAAAAATCGGAAAAAATTTAAAAAAAATACTGAATTTTTTTTCTTCTATAAATACCAACCAATACTCTTCACTTTTAACACCAACAACCAATATATTTGTAATAAAAAATTGAAAAAAATTACTTTTTTTTTCTTTCTCTCTATACCTTATTTCCATTTTCAACATTTAAGTAAATGTCTTTGTCCTTTTACTTTTATTTATTTTTATTTTTATATTACTCCATTTACTTAAGTTTACAATGTAAATAAGGAAGTACCCCCCCATTTGGATTCAAATAAAAATACTAGAAAATCAAATTCCCACCAAATCAAAATATGAAAAAATCGGTTTTAGTGAAAAATACAATTTAGGCTAAAAATGATGGCTTATTAAGTCAATATATACTTTATATTAAAATCCCATAAAATCAAGTTTTCTTATTTAAAATCTTGAGAAAATGATTTTACATGCATAGAAACCCAAAAATCTTATCTGAAAATATTATCCAAATTAATTGTTTAATTAAACAAAGTTGTGAAAAAAATAAAATAAAAAAAGAATAGTATTTGAGGTTTTTTAGGTTTTAGACATAAAAAAAATTTCACTTTTGGAAAAAGCCAAAGCTTTTTCAAAAAAGACAAAAAAACCGCTCAACTTTCAAATCAAAGACATGCAAATGTATTAGATTCCTTAGGAAATCTAAAAATAAATAAGGGCATTTTTGTCTATTTTTGCTTCTTTTAAAATTTTTCTCTCTCCTTTTGCTTTTTCCAAAATGTCCCTAGTATTTGCCATGCAAGCCTAAATTGCTGGAAACACACTTTTCTAAGGGAGGGTAGGGCAGGCACTATTCACGTGAATATTAGCTGCCCTAGGACTCCCCTTGTCATGGCAATGGGCTAACTGGTGGAAGTGATCTAATAGAAATGTATAAATTTTCTAACCAAATAAAGAAACAGAATCTTTTATTTGCTGCCATGCCAGCTGGCCCATATCTCTGAGTTCTTTAACAACTCATTTTCTCACCATTATTTGCTCACTTTATTTGCTGTTCAAATATTTGTTTTTCTCTCTTCTTTTTCTATTTATTATGCAATTGCCAATGCCAAAAACCAGAAGAGGCCAAGTAGATTTTTGATCCAGTTAAGTTCAGTATTGGTTTGACCACGTGGAGATTGCGTCTTCTTTACGGCTTCGTCACCAAAATGCCAACACTATTTATCCCTTCCACGTATGAACGCCTGTGCACAAGAGTCAAGCCCAACAAACATGACTCTGCAAATTTCCTCAAACTTCCACCGTTTTCTTTCACTTTTTTAAAACACCAATCTCACAGCCAAACACTTTTTAGTAACCAATTACTAATACCAAAAGGATTCCCAAGTCATTTCACTACAACTCCATTTCTTTTGTTTCCACAATTCTTAAAATGGGAAAAATCTATACTAGCTATGTATCTTGACTGCGTTAGTACTGCATTATGAAATCAAAAAGTACGTGAATCTCGCTATTTAAAACATTAACAAACCAGGAACTAGATCGACTAAAAAGTCCATCCATTCTATATACTAATTCATCTCCTCAATTGATCTCGTCTCCAATTCATAATTTCCATCGTTTCAAATAAGTACGCATATCATAGTCTTAAACTTTACATAACTCACATGTGTATAGTACATCTTTTCATGCGCTTGGAAACGACATCAAGCTTCTAAACTCAGCTGAACATTGCATATAAATAGTACACTTCGTCACATGTCAGCTAGCACAAGCACTATTACATACAGTGCAACTGAAATAATGTTATACACGTCACTTGCCCTACGCTTAAGTTAAGCCGAAGTTAGGGGAACTAGGATACCCCCCAAAAATTATACATAGCTAACTTCATAGTGTGGACTTTTGCCCTCAATGTTCCGAGTAATCTGACCACTTTCTGTGAAAGTAAAACGCGTCGGTCGGTTTCTATCTTTTTACAACTTTAAGCTTCCTCTAACATGTCGACCCCAAAAAAAAACACAACACTCATTTCACCCCCCTTTATATCTATTTATTTAAGCCATAGTTCAAAAATAAAGATGTGGTGTAGCTTCAAAGAGAAGACATTATTACCACTCACACCCCCTCCCTCCCCCTCTTAAAGCCTTCACCTCCCGAGCTCTCACCCCCGCTCCTCCATTTCTCAAAATCATCCCCAAAATTTACACCACCCCACCACCCAAAAAACTCATACAAAAAAAAACCCACAAATTCTCTCTCCTTTTTCTTTTTGTTCTTGATCTCTCTTAGCTACCAGCTTCTAAAGATGAAAACTTTTCATAAAACCCAATTGAGTCTCATCATGCTTTTAGTGATGATGGCCTCAACCACAACGATGTCTTCACCGTCACCAAAGCCGAAGGCGACCTCCAAGGATCAGATCGAATGCACAATGTGCTCCCTATGCGAAAACCCATGTGGCCAAGTTCCATCTCCGCCACCTCCTCCACCTTCATCTCCGCCGCCTTCTCCGCCTTCGTCATCATCCAACTGTCCGCCTCCACCGTCGCCGCCGAGCTCCGGCACCACCTACTACTCTCCTCCGCCTCCGGCTCAGCCCACTTACTTCTACTACCCGCCTCCGCAAGGTGGTGGAGGCGGCGGAGGTGGAGGCGGAGCGTTTTATCCGCCGCCCAATAACAAGAACTACCCTGTGCCGCCACCACCGAACCCAATTGTGCCGTACTTTCCGTTTTACTATTATAACCCTCCTCCTCACTCTACGTCATCCAGCTCAGTTCAGCTGATGACTAGCAGCTACCCATTAGTTTACAGTGTTGTCAGTGTTGCTCTGTATTCTGTTCTAAGTTGTTTGTTTTGACGGAAAACGAAAAAGAAAGCAAGGTGGGATTAATAATGTGGCAGGTTGGCAGATCTAGGAAATGTGCAGAGTGAGTGAGAGAGAGGATCTTGATTGAATTCTTGATCTTTTTACAAACAAGTGAAGATGAAGAAGAAAGCTTGAGACTTCGAGAGCTGTGGCTGGCTGGGTTTTCCTGTTTTTACATTTCCGAGAATGCCCTTGTGGAACAGAGGTTGATGGGGGCGCACTGGCACCAGAAATCAAAGCTTGAAAGAATACAGATGGGAAGTAATTCTCTTCCACTCTTTCTCTCTCTGTGTCTGTAATTTTTCTCTTTGCATTTAGTTGCCTTTGGTAGGTTGCTCTGTTGTAATTTTGATGGCCAATTTGTACGTATTGTTATTTGGTTAATATAAATTATAATTATGGAAATAAAAGTAAAATTTTACCTTTTTTTTCGCTCATAGTTGGATCCCAAGAGAGAGGACCTGATGTCAACTACTTTTCTTCTTCTTTATTATTAATTTTTTTTTATACAAGCGATATAATTTAAACTACGTGAAAAGAATTCGAACCATTCACGTTTTAAATAACTTGGACCATGTCGACATTTATTTATTTATTTCTAAATTAGGGCACAAACATGCGCTCTATAGAGACCGATGAATCAAATATTTGATTGATGGGCAACTTCCCAAGAATAACGCACTTGTGGATCTGACTGTCAACCATACCCGCCAGCTTAGCTAATATATAATATATTATTTTTATGATAAAAGATGCCATCATGCCACGTTTTGCTGAGGGCTTTAGCTTTGCATGAAATGATGCATTTATTGGTCAAAATCGGGACGACGACCTTTTACAACTTCCAAATTTCCCAAATTCCAAACTAAATGGTGCATATTCCTTTGTTTCTATTTTGAAACCGAATTCGAATTTTCTTTTCCCGTAGTTTAGATTAGTTTAAAGTTGATTATTGCTTTCATAAAATAAAAAAGTATTCTTCTTTTTATAATTTAGATTAGTTTAAAATAGATTATCGTTTTTGTAAAAATAAAAAAGTTTTGCAGGCCAATTTTAAGCCCTTGAATAGTATGGAAAATATCTGGAAGATGCTGATTTTCTGACATAAGTTTCTCAATTTAGTATTCTTGAGCTAACAACAACTATGCCACTGCCAAACAGTATGTGTCTGTGTGCTTGTTTTCTCTTTTAACAGGGTGCTGATGCTGAATCAATCAAAATATGATGATGAGGTGGAGGAGGAGGAGGAGGAGACACCTATTTCTCTACAGAAAGGAATAGAAAAGGCTGAAAAAACTCCACTTTGGGGGAGATACTAGATAGATCGATTTCCACAGTGCTTTCTTTTTTATGAAAGTGGTGCACCATCCATAGATATAGTCGTCCCTTTTCTTAGTTCCATGTGCAAAAGGTTGCATCATGCTTTGCCTTCTTTATAACAAAAACAGGAATATGAAAGCATCAATAGGAAGGGTTTACGTTTCAGAGATCAAAATTCAATGGTAAATCGTTAGATCCACCGACCATGCTGGCTGAAACTTTACCTTCTCTTTAGGGGGTTATAATTTCATATTTTATAAATGAAAATGATAACCAGGAAAAAGAAATTAGGATGAGGAGAGTTTTGGTCTCAACTCTTAACATAACCGTGCTAGTATCGCTATATATTGTCTCATCCGTAGCTGCCACTTGAACGAAAATATTGTCCAAAAAAAAAATCCAGGAAAATTGACTATAGATATGTGCCAAAATATCAACCCCTCCTTAAAAATGATAATTTTGTCGAAATTGTCGACTTTTCAGTCCTTGATCTTATGTTTCCTATTTTTTTTATGACGATGTTTGGTTTAATTAAGGATACTTGATTATAGATGCTTGGATGTAGGGATAACTGCTCTTAACTATTTGAACTTCAAAATCTTTAAGTCCTTCAAGAGTTGCACTCGTGGTTTGGGAAAAATTATTAATATAATTATAATTTGATTGAAAAAGGAAAAGAAGAGATTGATATAATACAAAAATGTGTGATTTGCAGCCAGTCAGCAAGGTTTTGGTGCTGGCTCACTTTGTACTTAAAAGACAAGTAATAATAAAAAGCGAAGGGTGTGTGTGTGTGTGTGTACAGTAGTAGTGTAGATAGAGGAGGGTGCGGGAACAATTAGCTGGAGGGCACGTATTATTGTAATGGGTTGAGGTGGGGTCCACCCAAGTTGGCATGGCATCCTAAGCACAAGCACTCACACAATGCAAGATAGAGATTGCTACACTCTCTCTGCATCGATATTCGAGTCCCCCATTAAACAATCAAATGGCTTTTGACCCCCCAAAACAAAAAGATAATCAAATGACAAAGGCCATCAATCACAAATGAATCTATGTTTAAAGTTAACTGATAAGGTGGATAATTTATAGTATACAATGATGAGTTAGAGCTTACACAGTTAATTAGTCTTAGATTAAAGACACTTAACTGTGTCTGCATACTTGGGTTAGAGCATTCGCAGTGGAGGAGTGTATAATGGGGTGTATGTTAACTATACACAATTTGTCGCCGAAATCATCTTCAATGAGAAGATGTAAATGGTTGTAAAAATACATCACAACCATGAAGATGTAAAATTAAATGCACATATGCATCTTTTTTTACATCATTTACAGGCAGGACCCACAAGAGAAAAAGGGAAAAAGAAGGATTGTAATTCAAAATGAAAGGCCCAAATTTCATGCAATTTGCATTGTCCACTTGGCCCACACTCCACCCAGCAGACTTTCTTTTTTTTTTTTTTTTTCTTTTTTTTTTTTTTTAGTTAGTCAAAAGAGATTCATAATAACCCCAGACCAGGGGAGCCAAAAGGGGAATACAAGTGTAGGGGACTTTTTCCTCCAGCAACTGTAAATGGGCTGGGCTGCTGCAAAAGAGCAGACTGATGAAATTGTCCCATTTGCCTGAGTTCGAAAATTAAGCCCCAAAATACCTCAAAATGGCAGTAGAGCCTTAGGAAGTATTTCGGTTATCTTCACCAACCAAAATAATGGCAGCTTACAGATAATTTCTTCATGCTTACAGATAAACTCTCAAGCTCAACGTGAGTGGCATGTGGCATGGGAGCAAAATCAACATGAGTTTAACACTAAGAGAAAATTTACGCTTGCTTTGAGAGAAAATGAAGTGTTAGGGTAAGGAATGAGAAGTTTTGTAAGAGATTTGGGTAGGAAAGGGAAAATGAAGAGCAGAGTTCTTCCGGCAGCTGCCAGAAGAGCAAAACGAAGAAGAAGATGAATAGTGCACGAGATTGCTGGGTTTTTGTAAGTTAGAGAGAAAGCTTGCTCTCTTGGTCTGAGTTGTGGCTAATGGTGAAGTATTTGGTGGTTTGGGTAAGTTTCCAGCAGCCTGACAAAAGCTATGTCAGACTCTAGAATGGCATGGCAGAGTGGAAAGTGGGAGGAGATGGAGGAATAGGGCACGAAATTGTAGAGATTTCATGGTGAGAGATGAAGCTTGCTCTCTAGATGTGGGTTGCCTCCGTTGGGTAGAAAAGGCCTCAATTTATAGCCGCTGGAAGCTGACATTTTTCAAGAAACCCTAATGGTTTCCATCCCATTTTGTTAAGTTTTTCCCTTACTTTCTCCCTTCATCCCTTCAATCATCCTTTTTTGGTGAAATCTTCTCTGCCCATTTGCACAAAATCAGATATTTTTTTTGGAGCTCAAGGCCCCCTTTCCCGCGGCTGTTTTAGACTCCTATTTTCAGCCATCTTTCTTCCTTCTTTTCTCTCATCTTCCAAGGCTAGGTCTGATGAGGGAAGGAATTGAATATACATGCTGGTTCAAAGAGTGCTTCTGGTAGCTCACAGGCTAATATTCTTTGGTACTTTGAATGTTTCTTGCTTGGAATCTGCTCCCTCCATGTGCTGGAACCTCCAGCAGCATTGTTTAATGAACCTCCAGACCTCCCATTCGTGGCTTTTGTTCCTTCAGCTAAGTGCTAGTGCCTTTGTAGCTTATTATGGTAGTTGTATGGGCCAAGATGGTTTATCAAGCAAGTGGGCTATTTAAAATGTTTGGGCTTTTTGGTTGAGTCAATAGGCTATTTTAATTGGTCTTATTTTTTGTTAGGTTATTTTGCTTGGGCTATTGAGCTACTTTTCTCTCTTGTGCTCACCCACATGTTTGGGCCTAAGAAATGGGCTTGAGTCTCGAGGCTCCCAAGCAACCCGAGACTTTCCATTTCTCGGCCCATCAATGGGCCTCAAGTTGATTTATTACCATCCATACCACAACCCACTCAAGCAAGCCCCGAGCATTCGAGTGGCTTAGGCCCACTTAGGCTTGTAGCGTGGTTGGGTGTGTAATAATGATTTCCTACTTGGCATGGCATATCGCTTGGCATGCTTTCAATCATTATGCCTGACGGGATAATTAGCATGGATTTGCAAAGATAATGCATTTCATAATCTTAATCTCGATTCCTAACATGACGAATTATTTATTTGGCATGACACGTGTGGTGTGACTCGTATATGACGAGTCTTCGCGTACTCAGATATGTGACTTTTCTTAATATAGTAGCGTATTGGACCGAAAACTTATTTGGGCCCAACCGTGGACTTTTTTGGGCCTCAACAACAAGATAAGCGTACTAGAACATAAGCATACGCTAGGAAAGGAGCACATGCTGGACACAGCTTAGTGCAAGAACCTAACCCAACAAAATGGCCCATATTTCTACATAGATATTTTTATATTAGTTTGTAGGTAAAATAATATGTTTTCCAAATTTAAATTTTTTTAGGTCCATTTATTTGGAAAAATAAAATAAAAACACACATAAATTAAAAAAAAAAAAAAAAAACACACACACACACACACACACACACACAAAAGAATTATCACAAACAAATCGAATATACATATTTGGATTTACATCGTTTCATTCAATCAAAAAAAAAAAAAAAAAAAAAAAAAAAAAAATATTACACACACCCTAGAGGTGTAAAGAGGATGTAAAAGTGGCTTTACACCCCCGAAAATACACCCCCCTAAAAAAAACTGTGGATGCTTTTAGGACAGTGTGTATGTCTTCTTTGTAGTCAAATTTGAATCTCTTCTCTAATAAATTATTTTAATTTAAAGAAGTTTAGATTAACGCTTGTATAAAAAAAAAAAAAAAAAAAAAAAAAAAAAAAAAAAATACAATAAATGATGATTAACCACATAAAAAAGAACTAACGACAAAAGACACCCTGCAGGTTTAGGGTGTTTCTCAATATGGACACCAGGATATCAATTTTATTAATTTACACACTTACGTTTGCAATATCGTCTAATTTCATCCTTCCGTTAAGTTGACCGTGTGGTCAATTGTTAAATGCTGATGTGTCCACTATGGGACCCACCTATTAACCAACCAATTCCTAAATTTTTTTATATATAATGATAAAATAACATAAATTTTTTTAAAATAAACTTAAAAAATCTCAACCCTTCCTCAGGCCAACAAACCCAGTGCCCCATGTTCACCCCTTCTCGCCCCGCACCAACCTCAGCCTTCAACCCTCTCTCTCTGGCGGCGGAACTCTATAAAAAATTGTAGTAACATTTGACTCCAACATCCAATCCAAAACTGAAAAAGTGTGTGAAAGAGATATGGCAAAAGGAAACAAGCTGACCCTGCGTGGATCGTGGCTTAGCCTTTACATAAAGAGAGTGGAACTAGCCTTGAAAACTAAAGGCATCCCCTTTGAGTTTGTGGAAGAAGATCGAAATAACAAGAGCCCATTGCTCCTCAAGTACAATCCTATGAGAGCCTGTAAAATATATATAATAATTATTCATACTACATATTAATTATTTATTAATATGAATTTTTCTTATTTAAATATTTATTATGAAGATTTATATGTTATTAAATCTTAAGCCTCGGATGAGATTATCCCTTTAGTTGAAAAATGACACCATTCTTGTTATCCATGTGTAGAAACTTAGAATTGGTTTTAATCAAATCATCATTGCCATGTCATCTTACATGCTAGTAACAAGTAGTGTTGTGATATCATTGGCCAAAGGTGGATGACTCACATTATTCCCTCATCTTTCTATCTTATCTTTTGGTGGTGGTGTTGTGATATCATTGGCCAAAGGGGGATGAGTCACATTATTCCCTTACATTTTTATCTTATCTTTTTTGTGGTTTAAAATATTGTATATATAATATAAATATTATTTGGGTGCATGCATATCCTCTCCTATAAGTATCATGCTTCCTTATTTCAATCATTCATTCCAATCCTTTAAGATAGATTTCTACCATGAGAGAGAGAGAGAGAGAGAGAGAGAGAGAGAGAGAGAGAGAGAGAGAAGGAAGAAAAAGAAACAAGATGAAGAGCATGTGTGTTTGTCTTGCAATATTTCATACTTATCATGGTAAGTGGCTTATATAATATGTTTACAAACCTCTCTCTATTTTTAAGTCAAGCATGTCTAATTTGTGCAATATTTCACACAATATATATTATTTGGAGTTTTTGAGAAATATGTATTATTCATGGAACATGAGTACTTCAGTGACGGGGTATCCGAAGAATAAATGTATCAGACGGGGACATAGGGCAATGCGGCTGATAGGGGTAATGTGTTGGGTACAATTTGTGAATGATAACCAATATATGAAGTAGTGATGTGATATGATTTGGATTGTGTACCTTTTTATTATATTTTTCTAGAGTGTGTAAAATGATATTGCTTGACTGACATATTACATAATCTACTCACTGAGCGGTGGTTTGCTCATCCCTCACCTATTTTGTTTTTTAGATCAATTAGTGAGCAAGACAAAGTCGGAACCAGAGAAGTTGGATTAGTTTAGAGTGATAAACTTTTATTTATATCTTGTACACTTGTAAGATTATTATTATTATTTTATATAAATGAAATGTATTTTAACCAATTTTTTTAGTCTTTTTATTTTATTTCATTCAGTTCATGCACTCTGATTCGAGATTATTCTTTATTCTCAGATCGGGTCATGACAAATCTTGTCCACAAAAAAGTTCATGTACAATCCTGCACCATGTTCACCCCTACTCGCCCCGCACCAAACCCATCCTCTCTCTCTCTCTCTCTCTCTCTCTCTCTCTCTCTCTCTCTCACACATGATTTGGGCTTGCATTTGGAGATCCGACTCCTTTTTCGGGCTAGAGGCTTTGACGAACTTGTTGAGGAAGGAAGATAACGAATAAGGCAGCGTTGAACCGTGCGCAAGGGGGTTTTCCAAATTTGTGCTTGTAGAAGAGAAGCTCATGCCTTGTTTGAATCTGGTGGCCCTTCGCCGCACCGAGTCAACTCGTCGTAGTACGTCGCGACTTTTGCCTCCTTCATTTTTGAGCTCGACGGTCTACAATGGTTGCTGGTATGAAATGACAGCTTTGGGGCCCTAGTTCTTTTGTGTGCTAGATTGAGACTGGTTCTTACTGGAATCGAGTTTTGGTGTTCCACTGCAGAGCCGATGCCGGAGAGAGAAAAGGATGAGGGCTGGAGTTCGTGAGAGGCGAGAGGGGGTGAACAAGGGGCGTTGGGTTTGTTGGCCTGGTGAGGGGCTGAGATTTTTTAAGTTTATGTTATTTTATCATTTTATATAAAAAATTTAGGAACTAGTTGATTAGGAGATGGGTCCCACACTAGACACGTCATCGTTTAATGATTGACCACACGATCAACATAACGGAAGGATGAAATTGTACGATGTTGCAAATATAAGGGTGTAAATTGATAAAATTGATACCTGGGGGTTCACATTGAGAACCACCTCAAACTTGCAAGGTGTTTTTTATCGTTAGCCCAAAAACAAATGAATGAGATCAAAGCTTAAAATAAGGGAATTCTTCCAAAAGTAGGTTAAACGAAAAAGAAGGAAGGGGTGGGGCAGGGGTATGATTGCAGATTCATGGGTCCCACCCAGGACCCAATCTTACACAAGTTAATTAATCTCTTGGGGCTGTGCTTTTGGGCTCTTGATCATCAGGAGTCAGCCAACATCCAACTCTCTCTCTCTCCATCACACACAACTTATCAACCGAAAAAATTGAGCTTCGGCCAATTGATCTCTTGGGATGATCTTGGGCTATATCTAAGTCTTTGGTTTATCATGGACCTGTCCTGGACCGACCAACCTATATAGCTGAACTTAAATGTAGAATTCTATTGTGAGGAACCTCATAGATGGGCCTTAAATAAGGCCCTCACTATAGAATTTGCAAATGCATACTTTCTAAATTCGTTGAGCTCTGGTGCTTTTGAGTGTTCAGTAAATTCAATTCTACTGAGGAGTCGAAACCTCAAAACTCATCTTCTTCTCCAATATTCTACTGAGAGTTCGAAAGCTCATCTTCTTCTCCTCCTTTCTTTCCACGCCATCCTCGTTTCCTTGTCTCTCCTCCACCACACTGAATCATTGGTCTCAATGAACCACTCATGTCAGTAGAACCTCTCACTCTCAGTAGTTCATTGCCGGCCCCTCATTCTCCAGTGCTTGCGATATCGATTCAAATGTCATGTTAGTAAATCTAAGACAAGACTCAGATATCGAATTCTAACCAGCCCTATAGAAAATGAAAACCTTGCGTTAGTAGTTTGAGCATTCAACATATTATGTTGAAGTTTGAGCATTCAACAACCATGCACCATCTAGCAAAGTAGTCGTAAAATAATACACATTGCCTATTGTGCTGACCTTTAAGCTACCAACTACAAAATGGGGTTCCAACTTTAAACATATTATACCAATTCTTTGATAGGTTGAATCTTCCATATCAATGACACAAGTCACAAAACAAGGAAACATAGAAAGCTGGTCAACTTGGTGGGAGAAATCTTTTCAAAGATAAAACAAGCATACACATGCAAAATCTTTATGCATTTGCACCAAAAATAATTGATACCATCTTTAAGCATTCTGCTATATATTCATGGTCTCCACTTACAAATTGTACAATATGAGGGAACAGTTGCTTTGACTCGCATTTCATCCGCAATATGCAGAAAAACTTGTATATAACGGGGATAGCATTAATATGAGTGAATTCCTCAGACGCAAGGATAGCATTAGAGGTAGCTAGGCTTGTAAGGTGGCTGAAAATGTACCAGAACACGGCTCACAACAAGCTATTTAGAAATCATGATGTTTAGACTGGAAGAGCTGGAAACTCCCAGAGTGAAAAAGAACATGATGTGCATCGCCTTTTGGGTAGAATAGGAAAAGGGAAGCCTCTGATTTCCTGTCCTCCAACCTATGAAACTAAATTATGGCTCGGGCCTTGTTCACCAACAATTATAATTATAATGATGATGAAATCTGAAAATGAATGCATGGCCTGTAATTCCACTTTTTCTGTGTGAAAAACAGATGAACTAGATTAGAACACAAAACTTCTTTTTACACTCGTTGACAAGATTAATTAGATTTGAACACAATATCTCTCTCTTTCCTTTTTATCTTTCCAAAAAGTCAAACACCCGCTAAAATATTCGACTCCTTTTGAATTTCCCTCTATGCACACACCATGGACTTGGAGAGTTGCAACCCAAGATTTCATCTCAATGAGATCAGATGGAAGACGGATTCCCTCTTGAATTATGTTTGGATCTTTAAAGTTTCATACCCTTTATCCGATTTTCTCAGGTGCCAAACAGAACAAAAAGGAAAATTGAATGAAAACATTCTCAGGCAGTACAGGGAACTCACTCTCTTTTTCTCATTTTCTGCGTGGAGGGTTGGCATTTGATGATGGGCCATAACAGAAAAAAATAAAAAAATTATTGGACGCAAAACGAGAGAAGAAACACAAGACCCAAAATGAATACTAGTAGTAGGAATTTTATGTCAGCAAAAATAGAACAAGATCTCCAAAATCTTACACTTGCTCAATCACTTTCCAAAAGCCCAAAATTAGTACTTAGTACATGAGGCTTCAAAAGGGGCAGCTACCAAAAATAACGAACAAAGTAAATTTCACTAACGAAAGAGACAGATGATAGGGGGAGGAAGGGAGGGAGGGGGGAAGTTACACTGAAAAATAGAGGTTAGAATTGCCATTCTCCTAAGAACTATATCTTAATCATATTATTTATACTAATTATTCTAAGGATGGAGAGACTAAGCATAGACAGAGCCATATGAAAGAGCCATCAGTAGCACAGCCGCTTGTTCTTCTTCCCCTAGCTTCCTCCTCTGCCTCTCCACCGTCGATCTCTGCATCAAAACCTCTCTTCCCAGAGCCAATAGCCTCTGCTTCAAACCATCGCCTAGCTGCTTGTTTCTCTTGCCCTTTTTATCATTGGGGTTTTCTTTGTTCAAGCCCAGAATGGCCCTTCTCTTCTTCCTGCTTCTGATCCCGCACGCATTGCATAGCGACTGTGAAACATAAGAAGACACAAATCAGAAATCAGATCAAACCCGAATGAGAAATTTTGAAGAATAAATTAGGGTTTTTGGGAGCTAAAATGACCTTAGGGCCTGCTGGGCCTCCCCTCCATAGAGGAGTTTTGGAGGTTCCGCAGTCGGCGCAGGTCTTCTTATGGCCTTCTTCGGATGAACCCACATCTGGGGTTTTGATACTCATCTCCTCGGACTCTGATCCCTGCAACACGAGAACAAAAACCGATCCGATCAGCAGCTATTTGGATCAAAATAAGAAAAGAGATCAAATGAAAGCTCTGGATCAAATTACTCACTTTATCGCTTGGATCCAACATTTTCTATCTGCTATCTTGAAGATCTAAGACAAACCCAGATGAGAACGAATGAAACACCAAACTGGGTCTTCACCAATTAGACCAATTTGTTTCAGCTGAAGTAGGAGTCTGAGGTGACTCAGAAAACACTAGTTGTTCAAAAACAGAGCGATCTGAGAAAATCAGATCGATCAGAGCCTTGTGCCAAAGATTGAAGGAGGAGATTAGACACAAATCAGAGGATAAGATCAAAGAGTGCTATAGCTTTCCTAACCAGAACCCAATAAGACCCAGAGATAAAAGAGAGTAAAAACAGAAAGGCTGTGGTTAACGAAAGCAATGGAGCTCTGTGGTGATTGGTATGATGAGCCTAGACACGAAACTAAACCGACATGCGGTGAAAGAAAACGATAGAGAAGAAGAGAGAGTGTCTCTCCGAGTGTGTGTTGGAGAGAGTACTGCGCAGTGAAGCAAAAATAAAGAAGAATCGAACCGACACACAAGCACCAGCCGCAGCAGATCTAAAAATTGCCTCCTTATATAAAAGATACGCGAAACCCTAGCCCGGGTGTTTTGAAATGACCAAAGTGCCCCCAGTGGCTTGAAAAACACATCCTGTCATTTTGATCCAGAGGAACCAACCCGCCAAAAGGTTGGTGAAATGAACAAAAAGGGCGCCACATCTGAGCGACAAAAATTCAAGTCATTGGTTTGTTCTTTAAATTTTCAGAAGATATATAATAATCATAATTCATGGGAAAGCAATTGGGGTATGGGAGAAGAAAGAGAAAGACAGGAATGAATGAAGGAATGGACGGATGATGTGGGTGCTTGTGCAAGCTCAACACTACGAGTCACCGTATGATGAGTCAGAGATTTGATGCTTTGCTTCTGCACCGTCCACCGTTTGATAGGTCAAACCCTGAAACCCCTTTTGGGCTTTTTGGGGCTCAGCTCAACATGTTTTGCATTGGCGGCAAAAATCCGCATTGAAATTTCTATTTCTGTTTTTTTCACTTCAAGGGTTAATTGCTTTGATTCTGTGATCCACACACTCCACCACCTCAGATTCCAATTTATTTCGGTGGGATCCCATTACCGTAGCTTCCATTTATACACTTGAGTTAAGTGAATTGAATATTCAATTCATGGTCTTTTGATGGAATGTAAAAAGAAAAAAACCAAACATTTAAATTTCAACTAGTTACCTCACTTAATTAGATTGGGTTATCCGTTAGTTTTGTCCTCGATGTAATTGACTTGATCTTAGACAACTAAGATAGGGGTTTTAGACAAGTTATCTTTGCAATTTATTCTCTCCATATCTTCTCAACTCTTTAGCTAGCTTAGGTCAATGAAAATTCTAACGGGAAAAAAGGGATTTACTTGCATAGTGCATGATAGTTATCTTATATTTGAACTTTTATAACATCTTGATAGCGTGTGTGAGAAAAAATCTATCTCCCTTCCTAACCTTGGCAGACGAAAAAAGTGAGTCAAATTATTGAATTCTTTGGTAAGCAAATATATTTATAGGGGAAAAGTCTTATGTTCTCAATATGAACTCTTGATTTTAGGGAGGAAATTGAGTTACATCATTGGCTCTTAGTCTATCAAATTATAAAATTAACTGTTACTTTTCTATCGGGCACTTATTCTGTACTTGATGAGGCAAAGTTTTGCTTACATTGACGCCAAGTTGATATGCAAAAGTTCTTATTTATTATGTATATGGGCTCAATTAATATACGTGTCATTGATATAACGTCCACTTGAACAAAAGAATAAACTGATGGTATAAAGCTAAGAATTAGTCACTTTAAGAATTATTTTTGTCAGTCAACAAAAAGAACAATGATCAAATTGTTAAATACTTGAAAGAGGAATTTACAGTGCACCAAAATACAAATCCAACATGGCAGATAATGAGAAGAAAAGAAAAGATATGATTTTGTTTTGTTTTGTTTTTGGGGTTGGATAGATAAATCTAGTAGAAACATACGGATCACAAGTACACAAAAGGCGGCTAGTAGTAGTGGCACTCAATTACCCAAGTAGCTCCCAAAAAAGCCACAATCTCAAGGATTAGCTTATCCATTATCCTCTTACTAATCCTAATCTCATCTCATTAACATACAAATATATAATCAAATCACCCAAAAGTTCCACGTCCACAACATTAAGCTACAAACAAAAGGCTACAAAAATGCAAAAGAGAGAGAGAGAGGGTTATAGGGTTTATAGGCCTTTTAAAACTCAGCCGCTTAGGTCTGCATGTCTCTGTAGATCGGAAGGAAACAAACAAGAGACAAAAACATATGAGAAATGATAGTAAAGGAAAACGAGAGCTCATGGGGGGGCGCCTTTGTATGTGTTCCATCCAGGCTGAGGCCAGCCAATCAAACCATGGACCACACAGACACAGACCACAGATTCTTTTGTTTATTCAACTTTTCAACTTTCACCCTTTTGTTACTGTTTTTATTTTGACCGTGCGTGCTTATAAAAAATAATAATGCATAAATATTTAAGATAATTGTTGGATATATCAGAGAATTAGCATGGCTGCTGCTGCTGCTGCTGCTGCCGCCTGCTATCTCTATTTTCAGATTTCAATGATGTTCATATCATGGATTTTTCTTTTACCTTTGAGAGAAGCCTGCGGTTTCTCTCTCGCTCTCTCTCTCTCTCTCATGCAAATTGCAATTTGGAAAAAAAGTTGGGGTCTGGCTCTCTGCTGAAAAGGGGCACATCCCATTCACATGTGTACAAAAACATAATTAAAATAAGATAAAAAAGGAAGAAATAAAATCGCTGCAAATATCGTTTTGCTGGTCAAAAAAATGCCAAACATCGTTTTCTTGGTCTGTCTGAAATTGTTTTTTTGTGTGTAAATCGATGGTGCCCTTTGAGTTTTATGATCTATCTGTCTTGATATCTACAATTTACAAACAAGTGTGTATACTATTTTTATGTGTTTTTCCAGGACCAGACCAGGTCATCTGATTAACCTTGTTTCACTTTCCATGTTCATTTTGGTAATGTCACACAGTCAAAGCCTTATATCAGATTTCAACCTCATTCTCTAGTAGGAACCCCCAGGCTACTCGAGAGACTTCTGGAGAGTCGAGTCCAGTCCAGTCCAAAGGACTAAAACAACATTGGTTGAATGGCCCAATCTCATCGCTAATCAAGTTATCAACTTTGTTCTGGAGGTAATTGAGAGAGAGAGAGAGAGATAAAACCTGGGGACACTGATGGTGATCATAATCAAATAGTTCCATAGTTTTCCATTTGAGTGATTATTTGCGTGGATACTTCTCAAAAAATAAAAACTTAGAAATAGAAGTGTTAAAGGGAGTCCTTAATAGTCATCCGATCAATTGTATTGAACGATTGAATTGAACCCTCAAAATATACCCCTCGTTATAGAAGCTCCGGCCAAATCATGCTTTCGTTCAATTGTTTGTTGATGAACTTGGTCCCTAATCAAAACACACCACATGTGCTCAACCTCATGTTGGTAAAGCTCGAAAATTGTGATCCATTAATAAAAATATGTTGCAACTAATTTGAAAATTGAAAAAAATAATTAAATTATAGTCAAGCAAGAGGCACTCTCGCAAGAAGAATGCCCAAAAAAACACACTTCGGAAAGGTAAGAAGTGAGAGCCAAAAAATGGGGGTTTGTGCTAAAAAAAGCCCTTTTCCACAACTTTTATTCTATTAATAACCCTGCCCATCCACAACTTTTATTCTATAATAATCTCTGCTCTATAGAGCGTTTCTTTGTTGTCCTATAATTTCCTTTTTATTGTCCCTATAGTGTCTCGGCCACTCATAATAGAAATTGTGAAAAAAGGCTATTTTAACTAATTTCACTAAAAAAAAATTGCTTTATTGCCTATATGATTTGATAATTAATAGTGTTTTTAAGGGATGGCCACAATATAAATGCCACTAATTAATCATCCTCGTTGAATTAAACTGAAATTTAATGAATCTCCTTGACCCATTTCTGCTTTTGTTCACAATAAATCCAAGATTTTAACTTCAGCTTAAACTTTTAACAACACTCCACGGATAAAAGAAATTCGTACTAAAAAAAATATAATACAATAATCACAAGGTAATTACCAAAACACTAATCTTTTCCTTGCAATACACCAGAAAATGAACGTTCATCAAATCTATATTCACTCCACAAGGCAAAACAAATCCCGACTCTTTAGAAAAATACCCGTACAAACTATGACTCCAAATTATAGAAAGAAAAAGAAAAAATGGAACTCAATGCTGCATTCAAGAAACCCTCACCAGCACATTCATTTAAGGGCCTTCGATGCAACAAAGAGCCTCTAGGACACTTCCATAGTATTTGATGGTACGAGGCAGTGATAATGATCACTGCCGACCAAACTTCATGTGCCACAATTGAACCCACCCATCTCTTCTTATTTGGTCATATTAGAATACATTGACCCACCTTGGCACCTCTGATCACAATGGACACCAGACCAGACTGAAACCAGACACACGGGATGCCCCGACCCACTTCAACTTGACCCCAACTTGACCCCGACTTGACCCAACAAAATCACCAGGAACTTCTGCTGCATTCAAGTAAATGCTCCTGCAATTTCAGCAAACCAAAAACAGTAACTAGTAGGGAAGCAAAATACTTCCTAAGTTTGCTGCATATAGGGTTACCATTAATCTTCATGCGCCAAACCACATGAACCTCACCTTCAGCTAAAGTTGAATCCACCAGATGGAACTTGAAGTTCGTTCCCTCCAAAGTGGAAGCCTGGCTGGGAACCATCTCCTGATGGTAATGTCTCATCATCTTCCTCCACCCAATATGTCTCAAGAATTTTAACTGCCTTCTCATAGATCTCAGTGTTGTCATGACTCTGTAGATTTTCAATCTTTTCTAGGCCCTCAGCATCATCAATCAATTGGGCAAACAAGTTAACTTCTCCAGTGTTACCAGCATTCTTTTCAGCTTCCCCAACTTTCAGAATGTTCTCCAAACCTTCTAAACAGACGGTGACAATTCTTGGATCAGGGCATACAAGAAGATCGCACAACGGTTTTATACAGCCTTCACCAACAAGGTACCTGACACCCATAAAGAAAAGGTGAACTTGATAAGATAACCTCAATAAGTAGAGAACTAAGACAGCCAGAATAAGATATTAAAAAATCACAAACTTGATTTGCTCAGGAGTGCCGCCAGAAGTAGCATTTGAGATTGCCCATGCAGCTTCTTTCTTTATGTCAAACTCAGCATTTTGGAGCAAATTCACCAGAGGGCCAATCAAACTAGCGTCAATTACAGACTGCATTATTTTCAAATTAGTAAGTGAACATTGGATCTTCTACAGGACATGCTAATAAAAACACCAACCTCTGCATATATGCATCATGTTGAAAGGTGCTAGTCATTTACTTAAAGTTAAGTGAATAAAATGAGAACTCATATTTAGTTAAATACTAATAAAGGGATTTTCACCCAACATTTGTAGTGCAAGTTTTCATACAAGAAAAACAATCAGTCTCAATGTTAGATGCGACAATGTCATTATATGAACTTAGGACAATTGATACTTTGAACCCACCAAACATGAAACCCTGACAGAATGCCATATAACTCAGAAACCCCCAATATTCCAAAGAGAGATCCATTGCAACATGCACAAAACCTTGATAAACAAGAATATTCTGACAGCATACCATAAACAGCGTAAAAAAAAACCATGGCCTAATTAATACAATCGCCTAATTCACATGATTACCTGTATCTGTTCCCTGTTTCCAGCTGTAATATTTGAGATTGTCCAGCATGCTTCTTTCTTGATGCTTTTTTTATGATTATGAGTCAAGAGACTCAGAAGGCATGGGAGTGCACCATTGTTGATAATACACTGAAAAAAAAGGATTACTCATCATGATCATACAGAAAATCAATCACAAACTGAAAGCAAATATGAGATCACATGATGCTCATGCCACAAAGGGATTTCTTTCTAATTATATTTGTTGATGCCTAAAACAAGTAAACAAAAAAGCAACAAATCAAGATGCTGATGTACCTGAGTCTGAAGATCATCTCCTGTCACAATATTACCAACAGTGCGAAGTGCAGGAATGAGAACCGAAGGAGATGGATGTCTGAAGCAACAAAAAAGAAGTTTTAAACATCAATATCATAGGTGAATAAAACAGAAGCCATTAGACAGATAAATAAAATGCAACACTCACAAGAGGAGCTGCACAAGTCGGGTGCAGACGCCTGCCTCAATCACAGCTTGAATTTTGTCATTCGTACCATCGGAGAGATATGACAGTGCCCAGCAGGCATCTGTCAAGACTTCTTCATCATTGGAATGAACTAAACGCTCAAGCGCTGGAAGTGCTGGCCTCACCTAATAATGAGACTCCAAAGTTAATAACATATCAGAGCAACAATCAAAGAACTTTGCTTAAAATATGAACAGTGGTCAGTACAAGAAGCAAACCTGCTCAAATGGAGGCTGTGGCTTGCCCCTGCAAAAGTTAGACAGAGTCCATGTTGCATTTCTCAGCATCGAAAGCTTTGCATGTTCATTCAACTGAGCCAGCAATGGCATCAAAGCTCCGTTGCCGAGGACAAGATCACGGCATCTGGGGGAATCACCAGCAACATTTCCCAATGCCCACACAGCCTACGATTTCAAAATGTATTTTCATAAAGTGTTTAGTGCAATCTATGTGGTAATTCTGTCAAAACAATACAATCTATACATTAACAAACAAACAGGGTAAAAAAGTATTAACATATACCTGCTCCCTAACATCATCACTTGGAGAAGCAAGAAGCTTTACGAATATTGGGACTGCCCCATGTTCAATCACCACCTTGGTGTTCTCTGAGGTTCCTGACGCTATGTTTGTAAGAGCCCAAGCAGCCTCAAACTAGACAAAATTAAACCAATCAACAAAACAATTTAACAAAAACATAAGCAAGCACAACACCAATGCAACACAGAATCGAATTCGAACCTGAAGCTGTGGGAAATCCTCCCTCATGAGGAACTCAACAAAGCGAGGAACCACCCCAGATTGAATGACTTCCTCAATTGGAGGGCTTCGTTCTACAAATTTAAAGTTTTGATTATAATTAGCAACACCCTTCTACAACAGAAACTGAAAATTAAAAAGAGACATGAAAGAAGCACTCAAAGACAGCCTAATCGTGTTAAGTACCAATAGAAAGCAGCTTTCGAAACTGTGTAGTGGCCTCCAGCTGCAAATTATTGTTGTCAGACCAAACCCCAGAAACCATCGAAGGCAGACTCTCCAACTGCAATCAAATCCAAACCCACATAAATGTGAATATGTAAAAACAATACCCTAACCCTATTGTTCAAAACCCTAAATGTCAAAAATCGGATCCACTCAAAGCCACAAACAAAGAGATCGGCGATTAAATTATAAAATAACCATAGCCAGATGAAGATCGTTACCTTCTTCTCGACATTTGAGGGCTGAAGAGCGGGTGCGAATTGCTGGGATTGGAGGCCTTCGCGACGCTTCTTCAGCAAACTCTCTTCGCGCTTGCTTTTTCGGATCTCGACCATGTTGTCCTCTCTCCTACGACGACCTTCCTCTGCGTCCACCGCCACTTTGTACCGGTTCCGGCGGACCTCGGTCCTCGCGCTCGGCCTCAGCGACATATCGTATGCTTTGACTGCGTCTCACTGGGAACAACCCAAAAAACTGATCGTGCTCTGATAGGGACCAACCAGTCGTAGACGGAGAAGGAGAGCAGTTAAAACCCTAAGAAATGGACTTTTCTGAGTATTCGAAAGAGAGAGAGAGAGGGGGACTGAGAGAGAGGGTTTGTATATGCACACAATTGGGGGTTTGTGATTTTTTTTTTTTTTTTTTTTTTTTTTTTTTTTTTTTTTTTTTTTTTTTTTTTTTTTAGTTTTTTGTGTGTAGAAGTGTTTTTTTTGGGTTGGGGAGGAGGAGTTTTATTTTTTTTTTTTTTATTTTTTTTTTTGGAATTGGAATATTATTATTAGTGGATTGTTATAATAACCGTGTGGGTTATTATATAGGCGCTTTTTTTTTAGCAAGAAAGACTTTTTTTTGTCCAAAAAAACGAAAGAAAAAGAAAGGTTCTTTTTACTTGTAATTATCTTTTGGCCTTTTATCTAAAAAAGAAAAGAAAATTATCATGAGATTTTGTTTTTGTTTTTTGTTTTTTGTTTTTTGTTTAAATATAAAAAATTACAACATATTCCTCGCCGGGTCGAGTGATATATCTATAATTGAGAGTATGGGTTAGATTGGATATGAAAATTATTTGAAAATTTGAATTATAAATGTTAAAGATAAGGAAATATAGTAATTTCATGCATTATCAATTAATATATATATATAATATATCTATATATATATATAAAACAAAAGGTAGAGAATTGTGAAACATTTAAAATACCAAAAAATGCCCTTAGTTAATGCAAACATTAAGAATTGAAATTATTAATTAAATGAGGATAATATGGTAAATTCACACTTTTTCATATTTAAAAAAATTAAAATTAAAAGAAAAATTAGATAATGGATATCCTATTTTATGGAACACAACTACCCATTATCTTTTTTAACTCTAAAATAAATTAAAATTTTTTTAAAAAAAGCCTTTTACAGGCGCGAAAGCGCATGCAGAGAGGCTAGTATATATAAAACAAAAGTCTGAGAATAGTGAAACATTCAAAATACTAGAAAATGCCCTTAGTTAATCCAAACATTAAGAATTAAAATTATACAAAATTATTAATTAAATGAAGATAATATGGTAAATTCACACTTTTTCATATTAGAAATATCAAAATTAAAAGAAAAATCAAATAATGAATCATATTTTTATGGAACACAACTTCCTATTATCTTTTTTTAATTCTAAAATAAATTTAAATATTTTTATTAAAAAAATGCCTCTCGCAAGCGCGGAAGTGCGTGCAGAGAGGCTAGTATATATAAATTTAGAATAATGCTACTTTTACCATATTTGTATACCACATCTTTATACCATCTTATGTGGTAGTTGAGATAGACAGCCACATTTATATATATAAAGCAAAAGGCAGAGAATGGTGAAACATTTAAAATATCAGAAAATGTCTTTAGTTAATGCAAATATTAAGAATTGAAATTATTAATTAAATGAGGATAATATGGTAAATTCACACTTTTTCAAATTAAAAAAATAAAAATTAAAAGAAAAATAAGATAATGGATATCCTATTTTTATGGAACACAACTACCCATTATCTTTTTTAATTCTAAAATAAATTTAAATTTTTTTTAAAAAAGCCTCTCACAGGTGCGGAAGCGTATGCAAAGAGGCTAGTATATATAAAGCAAAAGGCAGAGAATGGTGAAACATTCAAAATACCAGAAAATGCCCTTAGTTAATCCAAACATTAAGAATTAAAATTATTAATTAAATGAAGATAATATGGTAAATTCACACTTTTTCATATTAGAAATATCAAAATTAAAAGAAAAATCAAATAATGAATCATATTTTTATGGAACACAACTACCCACTATCTTTTTTAATTCTAAAATAAATTTAAATATATATTTTTTTTAAAAGCCTCTCGTAAGTGTGGAAGCGCGTGCAGAGAGGCTAGTATATATAAATTTAGAATAATGCTACTTTTACCACATTTGTATACCACATCTTTATACCATCTTATGTGGCAGTTGAGATAGACAGCCACATCAATTAAAATGATTTAATATTTTCTTTTCTTTTATAATTTATTCCAGTATTTATTTTTCTAATTGCCTTAATTAAAATACACTTCATTGATTTAATTGATGTGACATATAATATGGACATGCCACATCATGTGGTATAGAAATGTGGGATAAAAATGTGGTAAGTGTAGCATTACTCATAAATTTAAAGGTAGAGAATAGTAGAACATTCAAATACCAGAAAATACCATTGGTTAATGCAAACATTAAGAATTGAAATTATTATTTAAATGAAAATAATATGGTAAATTCACACTTTTTCATATTACAAAAATTAAAATTAAAAGAAAAATCAGATAATGGATCCTATTTTTATAGAACACAACTACCCAAGCACTATTTAAACATAGAAACACTCCCAAAATCAACCCCAAAGTCAACTTTTTGGGTGTGTTTATAAATGGGTTTTGAGTGTGTGTAATGATGGGTTTTGGGTGTGTTTATATGTTTAAACAGTGCTTGAGTTTTTTTATAATTTCAACCCCCATTTTGGGTGTTTTAGTGAAACTCCCGAGGCTAGTATCTATAATTGAGAGTGAGGATTAAATTGGATATGAAAACTATTTAAAATTTGAATTATAAATGTTAAAGATAAGAAAATATAGTAATTTCACGCATTATTATTATTATTATTATTATTATTATTATTGGAGTATATTTGAAATTTGTGACGTCAAACTGTACCCTTTGTAGGGGCATTATTATTGTGGATCATGTGACCTCATTGGCCAGAGAGTCATCAAATTTATCCAAATGAATCAAATTGGATCCGATCACAATCAAACATGATTAAATATTAATTGGGTTTAAATCAGTCTCATTGACAACACTGGCCATTAATTTACGTAATGTAAGGCAGTGCCGTGTAGGGTATTGATACTTTTTTTTCTGTTTGATGAAGTATGAGGATTGAACTTGAGTGTAAGGGGTGGAAACACGAGTTTGACCAACTGGAATAACTCACGTTTGCTTGAGTTGAGAAATCTTAGATGAAGCTGAATTGATTATTAAGCTGCTAAAAAAGGGAAGGCTTTTAAATGACAAATGGCTGGCAAAACTATATTATGATTTATATGTTCACATTTGTGTATATAATTTACATGCAAAAGATGGAACTTGTGCATTGAGCTTAGCTAGAAGCACAAACAATCTTTTTGCTCTAGAAATTCAAATGTTTGCTAAGAGCGGCTGGAGGCTGGTGATCAATGTTGTGTGTTTCTCTGAAAATGGGGTTTTCTCTAGGAATGGTTGAGATCTGAGGTGAGGTTGGTGGAGATGCATAGAGTATGGAGGCCTCAACAATTTCTCGCCGGACGGTTTCTTGGTGCAGGGAGATTCTTTGTGCCCGCAATGCAGTCAAGTATAACCCAGCAGCAAGCAACACGGTGGTCAAGGCAAACACTCCAGCTGCAGAGAACACACCTTCTCTGAGAACAAGGCAGCTGGGTCTTGGTCTTGACCATTTTCTCAAGTGCCCTGACTCCACACTTAGCCCAATCAACAACAAGATCTCCCCAACAGCAAAGGAAACCCTAATCAACATAACCCAAATGAGTGTTTGTGAGTTTGAATTAATGTCTTGATGCACTTCAATTGATCTTTGACATGATCCAAAATCAATAGAGTAAATTGTAGTTACGGTCCCTGAACTATTACTCGATTCTCACTTGGAGTTCTATAGGATTCAAAAACTCTGGGACTAAAGTGAGAGCCAGGTAATGGTAATAGTTGAGAGACTGTGGCTACAATTTGCTTGAAATCAAAATATGGAGGACTGACTAAAATTGATTGGCATACCAAGTTGCAACAAAGAAGAAGGCAGCTTGCCATTTCAAACTCATGGCAGGACCAGAATGATCAGGCTCCCAAATAACCAAGACTGATGGAGGGGAGTTGCTAATTGCAATCAACATGTATGCATGTTCCACCACCATGATGATTGCCAGCCCCAAAAATGCACTGGCTGCACATAATAGCGGCGATTTCCCACTGCTGCTGTATACACATTGGTATTTTCCTCCCTCATCCCCTTCATCACTGCTGATCTGCCATGTGACCTATGAAATCATCAAACCACAAAACTTATATTAATTTCCTTTTGTTTTGGTAATATTAATGTTTCGTAAAGAAATTGTTGTGACAAAAACATGTTTCCTAGTACCTTAGAACGAGTGACTTCAGCAATTAGGCATAGAATGAAGCAGAACAGGCCACAGAGAATAGTCAAGACCGTGAGAAAAGCACCCGTTTTGCTACCAAAGCCGGTGCCGGGACGACTTGGTGCAAGGTCTGCGTGTGTGACTGCCATTCTCTTTGCCATTTTGGAGTCGAAAACGGCTAGGATTATTCATGCAGGTCAAGAAGAAGAGAAATAGGGACTTGAAAAAAGAGAGGGAGGAGGGGATTTCAGAATTGCTTGTAGCAAAGGTTGCTTAAAAGGCTCAAGATTCTTAAAAGACTTCGCTAGGAAGGCATTCTGCTCATTTGTTCATACTTCAACTACTGATGTGGCAAAGCATTTTCAATTGTTCCACAATTAATCTTACGGCGTTCATATCTAACATCTAACAGTGCATAATCAGCCACATAATTCAGTAACCAAAAGCTTGAAAAGCACAGATGATCAAAAGTTGCCAAGTCAGTCTCAGTACGCGCTAGATATATATTTGCATGCATTAACTGCATATCTTCTTTTTCAGAAAAGAAAACGAAAATGAGCTTTTGTTTGGATCATCTTGTTCTTAGCCATATAATAATTTTGTTTCATTTCTTAAGACCCTAAAGAAACCTTTACAGTGCATGGTTTTACACCAAAGGGAACAATATATGCAAAGCTGCTTTTGGATCTTCCCCACAGATTAAACACCGGCTAGCTAATCCTATAATTATGTCCTTAATTGCTTCCAGATAGACCAAACATGATTAGATGGACGGTCACTAATTATTCCTCATAAGCTTTGAAATTCTTTGGCTTTTAGCATCAAATGTTGACAAAGAAAGGCATCAAAGGTCAGTGGGGTATGGTTGAGCTCTTCCACCTCAAAAAAACTTACCTATAACGAGGATAACACTGTTTTGCTATCTTAGGCCAATGACACAATGATACGTGGAAAAGTTATCTTACATGTCATTGCATTATTGGCTGGGATAGCAACAAGTGTTATCCCTGTTGCATGAGAGTTTCTCTCCTTCCACCTGCATTCATGTGGGCAGACGTTCGAAACCCTCAGACACCCAATAAATATTTGTGTAAACCCCCTCCCCCAATAACTTATACTCCCAAAAAAAGAAAAAAAAAGCATCAAAGCTCATTCGTGGGGTGGGCCCTATGAAAAGGCCCAAAGTGCTACCAGTAAAGAACAAATCACTAGAGATGAATTATAGACCAGGGAAGAATATTGGATATTGGTTTGCATTATATTTGATGATCTGGTTTTATCATATATAATACTACTGTTAGTACTACTACTGGTGGTGAAGAATCAAAATCACACATGCCTTTTATTTTCTGTTATTGGCCAAGTTGGCCTTAGTTAAAAAAATAAAGCTTCTTTTTTTCTTGTTTACACCACCACAAAACAAGGGAAGCTCTCTTTAATTGCTCTCTTTATGATGCTGCAAGCTTTTCCATGCTCTTCACTCTTATGCTACATTAGTAGGCAATAACAAGGACAGGGGACTGCCTTGGCGCATCTTTGATTTCTTTTATTAACATGGAAGACAGAAGAAAAAATATTTGAAATAGAAACATATTCCATGTGTAATAATTTGATGAGGACATTTGTCACACCCTAATTCAAGAATTTTTAGCTATTTTCCCGGGTAGGACTCACACCCTAACCTCAGAATTAGTTTTTCCCCGGGGATGCATTTCTTTCTTTCTTTTGTTCGAATCTAGGTCAGATCTTTGCTCATCTTCGCTCTATGAGGGAACTTTGTCTTTTTCATTTCAGTATAACTGAATGTGGAAGGCACAAAAGTGCACGTCGGAATACATTGAAATATTGACAAAACAAAAACGTTGAAAAAACAATGTACTGCTATTCCTTGCTACATCTAGTACTATATCCAAACCTTTACAAGTGCACTAGTGGATCCATTCAAAATCTCACCTCCCACTATTGGACACTCAGACAGCAAGGCCCTGAACAATGCCGTCGCTTTCTACTAATTTCAACTATATCTCTTGGCCTTCTTTCTTTAAGCTTTCCTAAAGTAACAGATTCATGAGAATTTCCTACTGTAAAGCGAATAATTCCATCAGCCTCTTCCACATCTTGTAGAATCAGTGATTCAGATGGACAATTATACGCAATGTCGATCGCATTATGTGTTGTCCTAGGAAGGTCTTTAACGCGTGATAATGCCATTGCAATTTGCTCGCAAGCAGCATCAAGGCGATCCTCTGTTTCAACTGACTCCGTAACAAGTGTTGAAGCCAAGGACTCCAATAAGTGAATCTTCTCAGAATTGTCTTTCATAGTAGTAGCAGTCTCAAAGGTGTTAGTGGAAGATGAACTGACACCGCACCAACGGGTGGGTAGATACTGGTCTGGAATATGAAAGCAATTATTAGTTGACAGGACACGAAGAACATGCCTACAAAGGATGCCGGAGAACTCGAACTGATAGCAGCTACAGCTAATGTGGCCTTGACAAGGAATCCAAACCACTTTGCACCCTCCATCTTCCTCAGTATGGTGTCTGACCTGGAAACAACCTTCATCTACCAGAAGAGATGCATACTGTGGAGCCAATACAAGTTCCTCTTGAAGTTTTCCGAAGGCATAAGGAGTAAGAACAGAAGCAGCATGTGATTCAATTGGCGAACCCGTTTTAAGGCACACTCTCTGCATTTTCCTTTGCATCTTTTGCTTTGCCCCAACCCGATCATTATAATCAACAATATCAGCTACCTGCAAAAGGAAGTTTAAAAGTGTAGGCATGTTTATTTAACATAAGAACCAAGGGCTGAACAAGAAACAAAGACAAGGTTAAGTAGTTTAGAAGCGAACCAAAGGCCAAAAAAGGAAAAATAACATAAAAGAAGAAGGTTACGCACTTGCTCTACAAAACGATCTAGTTGGGACTGTGCACTCAAAAAACGTTGGATAAAAGCATTAATTGATTCTGCCTGACTTGTACTCATCATTTCTGCAAAAAAGCAATGCCTCAAATATGCTAAAGCCCAAAAATTCCGCAGCGCATATAAGCTGATTACATGCTTATTTGTATGCAGTCCAAATTCATTCACCATTTCCCTCCATCTTTCTTCAAAGTCTTTCACGAAGTCCAGATTAAATAGCCGGTGAAACTCAGCTTTCCAATCATCATATCGAGATCCAAGAAGTACAGAAAACCAATCTGAGAACTTTGCGACGATGTGCCATATACAAAAGGCATGCTTTGATTGGGGCATGTCAACAGCAATAGCCTCTTTCAGCCACATGTTATGGTCAGTTAACATTGTCTGTGGAGCCTTTCCTTTCATGAACCCCAAAAATGTCTGTTTAAACATCATAGGTATTAGGAACAAATAGAGACTATAAAAACCAAACTCAGTAAGAAGAGAATAAAATTAACCACAAACCTTAAAGATATGAGAAAGAAATTCTGGTTACTAAACCTTTAACTAAGACCAAACCACCCAACCAAACCCTCGGTCAAGGCCACAGAATAGAAAGCTCCCTTATAAAATTAAACCTCATCATGGTTCCCATATCATTTTTTTTTTTTTTTTTTTTTTTTTTTTTTTTTTTATTTTGTTTTTATAAATTTTTACGCATTATTTGGCTCCCTGATCTAAAGTAAAATTTAGATTGAGAGCAGATCCCAAGCATAAGTTTTTATGTTGTGCCTCAAAGCTAAATTAAGATGCAAACCTAAGATTATCGAGGCTCAAATGTGCCCAAAAAATTTGGTGCTCAGTTCCATCAGGAATATGCCAATAAGCTGCTTACCTTCAATGCCCAGGAAAAGGACTGAATATTCTCATCCCGCAGAAGCACACAGCCAAAGAAACAAGTCATTCCATGATTATCCACACCAAGCCAAATTCCTAACAGCATATCATAGGCATCCAAACGATGGGTTGTGTCAAAAACCATTGTGTCTCCAAATGCCTCGTACAACTGAACAGATGAAGCATAAGACCATGCAATATGCTCCAGCCTGTTATGACCGTCTATTTTAAATTCATACTTGAAATTAGGGTTTTCATCTTTCATCTTTTTGCACATTGCTATAAGATCAATTGCATCATTATCTCTATCAACATTTCTAAAAGACTGTAGTAGGTTTCTCACGTCTATCTCTGTAAATGGTAAGCAACCTAGTTTAACACCTTTCTCCAGTTCCATCAATCTTAACATTTGCCGCACTGACATCCCAGCTTTTGCAAACATGCAAATCCGACTCTTGTCATCAGTAGATATGGAACAGTAAGCAGGAAGGAGACGGACTTCATTGGATTTCAATAGTTCGTGGTTATGGATGTTGCTAAAGCCTGTAACACGCCATTCGGGGACATCAAAGTCTGCCCGCTTAACAATCCGCATGTATGCTTGACAGCCACAGCGTGATGATTTGCGATTTCTTTGCATCTTTCCATCTTCAGATGGCTTCATCTGTGGATATCCACCACGATGACAAGTGAAATCTCTTCTTGTCACTCCCCGACCAACACCATCCTTGCCTCGAGTACGATGACGCCTAATTGAAAAGCCACATTGTTTTGCAAAACTGCAGTAGAATTCGTATGCAGCTTCTTGAGAAACAAATCTTTGTCCAACAAAGGGAACAAGATTCACAGAAGTCTGTCGTGACAAGATCGTGTCTTCAGCTGTTTCCTCTATAGTGCCAATATCATCTTGGGATAAATCCTCCATCCCTAGACTTGTTCCTTCCGACATCCTTTAGCAATAGATGATTGAAACTACAGTTATAAACCTACACGAAAAACTTCAATTTCTTAACAGAAGGAAAAGGTGTAATCTAAGAACATTGCGAGAAAAAACCAAAGACATGCTACCTAAAATTCTTCTACTCTCAAGGATGTAGGTGATATAATAGGCAGATTGCAATGCTGGTGGAGACAAACAGATATTAAAAAGCATTGTGAAAATAGGATGAAACTTCGATGGCTTCCTTAAACCACCTTAATCATGACCACACACACGACACTGGTCTGCTATAACTCCTTCAACTTTTCTTCATTTATTTGTTGTTTGGCCAAGTTGTTCAATAATATCAGTCTTAGAGGTGATTAGGCAGCCAAGAAAAATGCAGCAGTGGAAAGCTCAATATGGTAGTATAGATTTC